TCTGCCAAAAATTCTGTTTTGTCATTTACAAACGCCAAGATTCTAGGAACAAGATTACAGGGACACAAATCAGTAATTAAAAATGGTAACACTCAAAAAAGTATCCTAGGGAATCATATAACTAGTCTTTTGGTGTCCTCCAAATATATTAGATTACAACTCCCATCACCTCCAGTGGTAGCTGAACATATTAAGTGTGAAGCAACTGCACTGGAATTCATCTGCAAATCCAATGTTTAATAGCACCTTCGAATAGCTAACATTCTATGGAAAGATATCATTCTTTACCTTTTTATCTACTATTGACCTACCAATGGCTGCTAGGCAGGAGTGGGATTTTGTATCCATGTGTACCCTATGCAAAGCACAATATCTCATCTACCGTGATCTCTTGCACTGCCTGATAATATAGCTAGACAATAATAAAAACAATTCCTCCTATCTTTTTTGTTACTTAAATACAACTGCAAGATTGATCAGGACAGAGACTGCAGCAAGTGGGGAGAAGGGCTTAGGGTCTACATTCAGTCTCTCTCTGCCATGAACTGCTGCGTTCTGGAGTAAACTGGCAGCACAGGTTTCCTCCCAGGGCAAAGAGCAGTTGTGGGCTGTAACAGATCATGCAAACCCCAAGATGAATTGAAAGCACTGGGTATCTCTGCACTGTTGCTTAGTCGTGATCTCGCTCCTCCATCCCTTTGTTTATCCCTCTCATACACATGTGTGTGTGCACACACGCATACACTCACATGGAGCTGTAATTTAAATAAACCAACCCTGTCATGTTCGTTTATTTAGAGCACAATCCTGTGCATATCTACCCCTAAATGTCATTGAGTACAATGAAATTTACTCCTAGGAAAGTGGGTTCAGGATTGTGCTGTAAATGACTTTTCTAGTCTGGCGCTTACACAGTCACTTTATCCATCTGATGAAATAGGCTCTGGTCCACAAAACCTTATGCCACAATAACTAATATGTTGGTGCAACCAACTGGTAGAGCTGCTGCTCTGGAATTTTGCCCTATCCTAAATATACTGGCTACCCTCCAAGGCTATTTTCAGAAGTCACATTCAAGGTTTAAAAAACCCCCACAAGGCTACAATTCAAATTGAAAATCTGTACTGAATAGCATATTCCTTTAATTTTAAATTGATCCTCATTTATGCTTTCTATTTTAATTAATATACTCATCCAGAATATAGACACATCCAGAAAAGGAAGCATTCAGAGCATCACTTGGAAAATGCAACAGGAATGCTAAAATCCCAGAATTTAACAGGGCTTACATGATCTTAACTGTACACTGGATGGAGGCCAAAGGCTAGAAGAAAATCCCGTTGCAATAAACTGACATCATTTCCATGTAAACATACTTAAGGCAGCAGCCTGGTACCCTGATCATAAACAGGGTGGATGCAATGCAAATATGTGATATGTAGATGAGCAAAAACAGCAAATGCACTAAGAATTTTGCTCATTGTTTCCATTGTTGACAATTACTATTGCTTAAAAAACCCACCACAAGGTACAATCCTTGCTGACTGGAAAATGCTGGAAGTTGTAGGACTTTTTCTGTCTAAACAGGCACATGATTGTACCTAAAATTCCTCTTTTTGCCAGTGAAGGCAGCTGTACCAAAATGCTAAGTGATGCTTTGGCCCAGCACGGGATTTCCTTTGGATCATGGTTATTTCTTGGGAAAAAATACTACTACACTGGCAAGTTCTGCTTTGGTTAGTTGCCCAAAATGAATGACATATATTTAATTCTGTATTTAACCTTTGAAAGTATTTATTTTTCACTAACTGAATGTAGAGGTTTGCTAGAATGTTCTAGTTATCTGAAACAATCTATAAGGGGACATGAGCAGCTCTATAGACATCTGTTAAATTTGCTTCTATGCTTAATAGATCATTTGTCATATCCTATTTATTTTTAAAAAATCTTTATTTGATAGAACCATAGTGACTATGGTATACTAAACCTACTAAACTTGCAATATAGTTTTTTAATGCACTACCTAACATCATCTATGGGTTTCATTCTTTTATGTGCAATCAGAAAAAATACAAACTTATTCTACTTTCATAGCATAGCTTCAATCAATGAGGGAGGGGGGGAAGACTAACCCAATACCCATAACTGAATGCATTCCAGGAAATTCTCATCTCTTCTTGCTATACTTTTATGCCAATTTACTTCTGCACTTGCTACATTAAGCTGTGACTACTTTTAGTTAAAAGTCATTTTCTGTTATTCACGCCAGGAACTGATATAACACTATAATATACTTAAATAATACAGGGTGTCATGCACTTTCAATAAAGTGCTTAATAGAGAAGCTACAGAACTTATTTTGGTCTAGTCCTTTTAAGGCATGTCTAACATACTGAGCCTATGTCTGCAGAAACAGGTCGGATGAAAGATCGCGATGAGATGGACTGTCTTTCTCCTTGACCAAGAGTTCTCTTGCGTTCACGAACCAATGCCTTTTGATGTCTCTTCATTCTTTCTAGTTGTTCTTCTGCACTCATCTTGCCTCTTTGGTGGTCTCCAGAGTATAAACGTTCCAAGGCACTCTTTGGTCTCTCCTATTAAAGGTGACACAAAATATTTCTCATAATTAATACTCCTAAAAAAGTATACTAGGTGTCCAACCTACAGCTTACCTACTTTGCACCAGTTTTATTTACTTTAGACAATGTCAGTTTAAAAGCTGAATATTGACACCAATCCTGCACTTCGTTTTCTCTGAGTAAAGTGATCCAGAAAAACTGTCAAGTTTTCCTCTGTCTGTAAGATATGTAGTTAGCAATGCTACTGTAAAAGGAAAAAAATGGACTAAGTATCTAGAAAAGAATATAGTTATTAAAGAAAAGTAAAACCTTCTTGTATGCAAGCACACTGTGGATTATTTACAAGCACATTGTTTTTCAAAACAGAATAAATAATTAACAATTCTGACAAATGAGTTGTAATTGCTATAAATGTTAACTAAGCCAAAGAAGAACTTGCAGCTGACAGGCTGTGGCTGAGCATATGACATTGCTGAGGTGAATTACTCATGCATTATCTTATCTTAAACTCCAGTATACAATCAAATACTGGAGAGCCAGTGTGGTGTAGTGGTTAAGAGCAGGGACTGGGACTCAGATGATCTGGGTTCTAGTCCCCGCTCAGCCATGGAGCCAACTGGGTGACTTTGGGCCAGTCACAGACTCTCAGCCCAACCCACCTCACAGGGTTGTTGTTGTGGGGATAAGATGGAGGAGGAGAATGATGTAAGCTGCCTTGAGTCCTTTGTAGGGAAAAGGCAGGATATAAATCAATCAATCAATCAATCAATCAAATACAGAAACCAAATACAACATGATTATGCATGTTTTGAATATTCAACATGAGATCCAGTATGGACTGGGGGCCTGGGAGATCTTAATTCTATATCCACTAGGCAAGAAGATCACTGAGTTACTTTGGGGCAATCACTGACTCTCAGCCTAACCCACCTCAAAGGATCTTTGTTATCAGGATAAAATAGAGGGGAAAAGGACTATGTAAGTGGCCTTAGGTTCTTCAGAAGAGGAAAAAAGCAGGATATGAACATAATAGAATTGTAATTATATTTTTTAAAAGATTTGGCACTCATAAACAAACCTTGGAACCATCTCTTCGAAGTGTTGCATATGATGAACCTGCTGATGACTGATGGATCCTGGAAGTTGACCCAGATAATCCTTTACAAAGGAAAACACACAAACAAACAAATTGTGCTTAAATAGAAATACAGATGGTGTTTTATAAGTCTATGTTCTGTAATCAATCTTTCTATTTAGATAGACATATGTCCCAGTGATTCAAATAATTAACTCCTGCAACAATATGAACAATTTCAAACCATTCATGTTATTCTTCATTGCTTTTTTCACTTCAAATCCCTGCTTGAAGTTTGCTATATATTATCTGTTCACAAAATTGATATAAAGTCTGAGAGCATGAGCAAGAAGGCTAAGAAAAGTTTTGTCTTGGGCACATTTAGTAGATAAGTCAAGATGCATCTGAATATATCAGGAGCCAGGAAGAAGTTTTCTCTTTGGTTATAGTACTGAGCAGTTATGGGTGGGACTTTTGATGTTGTTGCTGTTTATTGGTGCACTCTGGTGAGGCTTGGGACTCTTGGGAAAGTGGGCTGTTGCACTTTAAGACGTGCTGCAAGCTGCCCCTCCCCATAACCTTTCCAGAAATCTTCACCATCTTAGATATAAGCACACTGGTAGAGTGGAGACACCTGACCTTAGCAGCGCAGCAGCTTCCTGGGGCATGTAAGCAGGCCCACTGCGAGGTGGAGTCTTTGCTTTCGCCCCTTGAGTTTTTATCAATGTGGTTATATGCTGGGACTGTGCCTGGGAGGGAGAATATGGAGCAGATGGTAGGGGGCCCAATCAGTGTAGTGATGGGTAGAGGGAGATGTAGTGCTGGGAGGAGGACTGCCAGGGAAGGGGAATGTGGCCCAGGCAACTAATGCCTGCGCCATGTTTCTTGTTCTTGCCGTTTCATTGTTTGTCATGTCAACTGGCATTCAGGAATCTCAATGTTGCTTTAAAATACCAGATTCATGCAGAATGGAGGCATTGCCACTGAAGGCTGTTCAGAAGCTGCAGCTCCTGCAGAATGTGCCAGCCAGATAATAACTGGGACCCATAGGTACAAACACACAAGGCTAGTTCTGGCCTGTTTGCTTATGTATGTTTCTGGTTTAATTCAAGGTGCTGGTTTTACCTAAAGGCCCACAATACCTGACTTGGGACCACGTTACCTGTTGAAACAACTGTTCCAACCACAATCTACTTGGACACTACACTCAACCTCTGAGGCCTTCCTCTGAGTGTCAAACTGGAGGAAGGCTCACAGAATGGCAACAATGTTTTTCCCTGTGGTGGCCCCCATCTCTCAAAAAACCTCCCAACTGCAGCCCTCCGGCACTAATCTTGTCAACATTTTGCTGCCAGGTTCAGAAGCTTCTGAAGATTTACTTGGCTACCCACGGGCTTGAAAGGATTAGCTAACTCAGCAGTTTTCACAAGGTCATTCTTTACAGCATGTTTTACTGTACGAGTAAATATTTACTCGTATATTTAAGTATGCTAGGTAATGTTTCTTTGTTATTTTTATTGTATTTAAATATCTTGTTTTTATAGGTTGTTGTAAACCATACTGAGAATAAAAATGAAATAGTAATAATAAGCTTGTTTTAACATACAAAGTCCTAAACAGCTTAGGACCTGGCTACCTGAAGGACTGCCTTCTCCCAAATATGTCTATTAAGATATGGGCAAGAGGCCCTTCTGAATGTGTCATCCCTCAAATAGGTAGGAGTGGTGATAAATACAAGAGCCTTTCCAGCAGCTGCCCCTCACCTGGAACAGGTTCCCCAGAGAAGTTTGCCTGGCATCAGCTCCGCTTGCATTTCAGCACCAGGTGAAAACATATCTCTTCTCCATCAATTTTAATAATTGATTTTAATCATGGAGTTTTAAACATTTATTAATTTTATTGTAAATTTAGTTGTCCATCTCACCTGAACATGTTTTTTTTGAATAATCTTAGTTATATTATTGATTTGTTATTTATATTTTTATGTTGGTTTTAATTGTCTAATTGTAATTTTGCTGTTGTATGCTGCATAGACAGTCTACTTGGTGGCCTATAAATATAATAAATAAAAAAGTGTTGTTCAACTTTATTTATACTTAAGCTGTCTAGACCTTCTTGAACTTAATTCACTGAAACATTTGTGTGGGTCACCATGCTTACTACAGCCCTCAATTTCTAGGATAATATAATCTCCATTATGCAGATTAGTCTGCAAGAAGAAATAATATAATGATTAAGGAGGGGACCCTTCTAGAGCTATCCCTCTAAGCATCACCCAGAATTCCAACAGAATCACAAATCAAATAGGACTACAGAGGAATTATCATACAGGTCCTGAATTCTCTAAACAGCACATCAAAATCATAACAGACACTTTCTTATAAGATATAGAAAAATCACTCTGCTGACTTACCCCTGCTAGGCAATGTTTGGTATCTACTGTCAGTACCTAGAAAACCAATGGAAGGTTGGCTCAAATCACTGCCTATTGTTGCCAGTTCAGGTTCACTCACGTACGAGCGAAGCTCTACCTATATAGATGAATACTTGATGAAATGAGATTGCAAAAATATAGGATGCATTTTCATAATTCTGTTAGAATGTTGTATCCCTGCACTAACCACATATTAAATATACAATAATGTTTGGAGCAGCACAAATTCATTTCAAAATCAGGAGCTGAATACTTACCCTGTAATCTCCATTCACACACTGCCCTAGTTCACGGTCTCGTTTTCTTTCGTCTGACTGGCGTTTCAGACCCCGCACTGATGTGTGTCTGATGACAGTGGCTTCCCTGGGAAGAGGTGGGATGGCTGGTGGGTTGTCATCAGGGCTGTACAACTGTGGAAGAGGAGGTCTTGGTGGTGCTTCATCTTCCTGATGCAGTGTTAAAAAAGCAAATGTTTGCTTCAGTGTTATTGCTGGTTTAATATGTGCAAGATGGTAAAAAGGTAAGGAAGACAGATACCTTACTGGCCCTAACTTTCTTTGTAATTCATAGAAAACCTGGGGTAGGAGAAGGAACCTCACAGAAGGGGAAAAGCTCTCACCCTGGCAGCTATTCAGAAAAGAATCTACAACTAGAGCTCACATCTGAAGAGGGACTCCATTCCTCCACTAGGTAATACTACGTAAAATTTGGCCTGAATTATTTTTTTAAGTAGTACATCATTTAGACTTCATCTGCAGCTTTGCTGAAGTAAAGTCCATCTTGTCTCTCTTTACTTCTTTTCTCTGCCTACTCAGGAATCTGTATTTATTTATTTAAAATTTTTGTATGCCATCCCTTATGCCTTGGTATGTTGTATCCCTTACAAGAGGCAGATCCGAGTTACAGCTGGCCTTGTGTTTTCAGAAATGAGGGTCCCACAATGCTTGTCACAGAATGCTTGTCACAGAATAAGACCTACTAATGACTAAGGGTGCAATTCAATGGGGTGCCCTTGAGCTGCCATCTCATGCAAGGCAACAAACACAGCAGAGATAACCTCCCTGGCTGCCTTGCTAGGGAGCTTCAGAAGGGGAGGGAAGAAAGATGTGACACCATCATAATACACTGTATCCTGGTGGCCCCAGCCTCCTCATCTCCCCATCCTCCAGAACCTCCATTTACTCCTTTGGGATCACTCTTAAAACCCTGGAGAGGCTGCTTGCATGCATCTTTCCATGCTGGCTGGAGGTGAGGAAGGGTTCTGAGTGCAGAGCTTTATTCTAACCTCAGATTTGGGAATCTGAAGAATCCTATACCCTCTGGTTACCTTCTAGGATCCATGGATTCAATCTGCAATTTATTCAATCTGCAATCTCCATTCTGAGATTGAGTCAAAGATGTAGACCTCATTCTGCAACATCTGGCCTAATTTTTGTTGCTCCCCTCCTGCATTCCTGCCTTTTGTAGCATCTGACAGATAGTTTCTAACCTCATGCACACTCTTCTGTGGCATTTTAGTTGATTGGTCCTAATAGAGACATTGCAGAACCATGGATTTTTTCTTACAGACTATAACATTTAGTTTAGTTTTTTTATCACCTGCTTAAATTATAGAAAATAAAGTACATGAATTGAAGCTTAATGGCCTATACATTACACAGAGCGTTTCTTTGGGATTTCCTTCATTGCCTGTCTACATTAAGCACACTAATTAAGTCAAGGCACTGCATTATCACAATCAAGAGCTTCACAAATCTAATGTAACAAGAATGAGGATGAGACATTATCCGTGTGGTAGCAGAATTCATTACAGAAAACCCTGTATGCACAAAGAAACCCAATTCTTATCTATCTATCTATCTATCTATCTATCTATCTATCTATGTTTTGTAAGCCACCCCGAGGCTTTGGCGAATGGGGCGGCATAGACATTTTTAAATATCTATCTATCTATCTATCTATCTATCTATCTATCTATCTATCTAGGCCATTAGCTATAGTTATGACACTTACAACCTTTGGCTTCAATTTTATCGGTGACTGGGCTGGTGGTTCAACTTTTTTCATTTGTTGGGATGGAGAGAACATTCTAGGCTGTGTATAAGGCTGAGGAAAAAGTCTGACTTCCAAAGAGGACTTGACAGGGCTAGATGGTGGTGGACTTCGCTGAGTAGAAAGTTTGTTGTCTGTTGACATGAGAGTAGATGATAATGAAGGCACTAGAGGATTTGAAAATGAAGGCACTGTTTTTCTTTCTGGAAAAGTAAACACATGGTACACACAGATATTACATTCAGCCAGGGAGTTCTTTTGTGAGGCAAATATAATTGGCCTAAAATCTAGTGGAAATACTGCAGGGAACAAACCTATTTGACAAATTTCATACAAGTTTAAATCTGCTGATTTCAGAATGTTTGGTAAGTAGATAAAATCTGTTATGTCTTACATTTTTCTTACCTGGATTCTTTATAGATTCTATGATTACTTTATAGTTGGATTTATTTGCACTTAGGCCAGCTGTAACATCTTCAATTCTCCATAAATCTTTTTGCATTTGAGCTTTCTCCTAATAATTAGTCAAGATCATGTGTTGGAGGAAAGGGTAGAAAAATACAACATTGGTTATACAAGCACAACATGGACATTTCTTATATTTTTGTTTTTGCTGCAAAATAGTACAGAAAGGTAAGAGTTATATTAACATTTTAAGGGATTGATACTTTGACTCATAAGAAAAAGGGTAACAGGCCTTGCAGAACTTTGTGAACTCTTTCCAGTTCAAGGACAATAATCACTGCAGCTGCCTCCCCACTGCAGCACTCTACTGATTAAGAGGCTTATGCAGCACTGACACTGCTAGACAGGTGAAAGACTAGAATGAGTTAGCTGCATATACAGTTATGATTCTGATTAACAATTTCTATACGTTCCTATATAACAGCAGCACTAACTTCAATATTTATACCACTATGCTTACCCTATTACTACCCCTTTGGGTAAGCTTTATCTGGTAGAAGTCCAATAAACCCTCATTCTTTACGGTTTTGGAGCCAAGTAATTTTTTTTTACTTTAAAGGCATTTGGATTTCTATCCCAGTTTGGAAATTTTTAAAAAACTCAGTTTGATTTAAGTATGATTCTTATTGACATGCACATGGTAGGCATGTCATGAGCAGAGCTGGCTGGAGCCAGGGGTCAGACTAGATGGCCCAGGAGACCCCTTCTGACACGTTCTGTTTTTATGTTTATTGTTTATTATTTAAAATGATTTGCAAGTGATCTTCAGTCACATATCAGAGAAAAGTGATGGAGGGACTAATCCCATGGCCCCTGGTTAGAACTGGAGAGAGAGTAGCATTGTTCAGTTTCTTCTGTCCATAATCAGAGACAACACTCTAACTTAGCAGCGGGGAACTGGAAAACCAACCCCTCTCTCCTACTCCTTGCAGCTACAGTGGAAAGATGGTGAGAAAGCAACCTTAGACAGATGGCATTTCAGTGGGCAGGAAGGGGAGGAGACTGAACAGGCTTGGATACAAGCTATCACGACAAATGCGGAGGAGTGAAAAGTAGGGCTCAAGGATGGGGAGGCAATGATTGACCACAAGCATCTGAAATCGGGCGCTTATAGTCACCAAAGGCACAATCAATAGGATTGCACCATTAACAGTAATAATAAAAAACCAATATATGGGGGAATCTGCTTAAACCTTTGAGCCACAGCATCTGCTTAACCCTTGCATAATCCACTGTTCCTGGGTTTAGACATGACAAGCTGCAGCCTAAATACTCAGAATGGCTACCCACTTGCACTGCGAACCTATTGTGACTTAAATAAGCCATGGCATGATTGTGTGAACTGATACATTGTTTTCCTAAAGGGCAATGTGAAAGACAATGCTCTCACATTCCACACTGGATATGCAAACATTTTAATTAGTTAATTTTTAATAGATTTCTAGCCAAATTTCAGGGTACAACACCTTACAAAGCAGCTTACAATACATTTTAAAATAGAAAATAGATACACCATAAAATGTTTATCTATATTAAACAATATTTAATACAGAAATTATTAGGGAACAATAATATAAATGGTTTAAATAGTAATAACAGTAATTTAAGTAATAATAACAGAATTAATAAAGATTATTAGGGAATAATAGAACTAATTTCTATTATAATTAAAATAGCATGTAAGATAGCAGCATCAGGAAACACCTCAATCAAGCTGTAGTTATTTTATACTACACTTAAAGAAGTGTAGACGAGACAGAATGAGTCTTTAAAATCTTTCTAAAGGCCACCACAGAGGGGGCCATCCAGGTCTTCTAAGTGAGAGTGACCTAAAGATAGAAGGCTATCACAGAAAAGGTCCTGCTCTGGTCCTTGCCAATCTCACAGCATTTACTGGCAATTCAGGGAGGAAGGCTTCACATTCAGACTGTAAAATGTGGGAAGGATTGTATTGGTGTAGAGTCCTTGAGGTAACTTGTACCTTGGTCCCAATATATTACGGTGGAATCTGCATTAGCAGCTTTCCACAGGGAAAGACCTGAATTTATCTCAAAAATTAGAACTGGAACAAGATATGACTATAATGCCAAAACATCTGAGTAAAAACTAGGTTAGTTGAAAGTAGTCTCACCTGAGAAAAAAATGATTTAGTCATCTGTTCCTGTAAGGCTTGCTGAAGCTGGTTTACATCTTTTTCCAATTTCAGATATTCATTCCAGGCATTTTCCATTTCCTGTTGGCAAAGACAACTCTTCCATAAGAAATGAAAACTTATAAATCATACAGGCTAGTCTAAGAATTTAAATAAGTACTTTATGCAAATATAAGCCACAACTTAATGCACTTCAGGCTAAAATTCTTTGCATAATACTTATCTAAGAGACTCTCAATAAAATCATATAGACTGTTGTAAAACTATATACAGTATGGATAGACTGAATCATGAAATAGAAAAGAGAAAAAATGCCATACAACAGAAATTGATGGCCTGTCTGCTGAGATAGCCCAGTTTACATATTAACAAGAAGCCACTGTGGATGAATTTTCTGTGGAACTTCTCATTTCAGCAGCAGCTGCCATCCTGAATGAGGCTGGATTGACAAGGCACCTTCAACCCTAAAACCTATCATGGGTTCTGGGTTATGTGTCAGCACTCCATCAGCCAACCCTCATTACCCTGTGGGGAAATTCTTGTTACAAGAGACATATGCAAGTACTTTGCTGAAGCATATTATTCCAGATATGAAATGGTAGGAGCCATTTCTGTTTTTGACAATCTTGGTTAAAATCATACTGTTTCACATGATAATTATTTCCCCAAGATGTAAACTTATTTTAGCATTGTCTTTGTTTTATATTGCTATTTTACAGAACAAAAGTAGACTTATGTAAATGTCAATATGGCTGCAGCCCAACTTCATAACCCATGGGTCCTCAAACTATGGCCCGCAGGCCGGATCCAGCCCACCTCAAAGGTTTTGGACTCCCTGCACCCACTGCTGCTTACCTTGCCACATACGCAGCGAGGTGGCGACTTGCTCGCTCAGAGATCATTTTGAACTCGTTTGTCCAAATGATCTCCGAGTGAGCAAGCTGCCGTATCGCTGCGCCCACCGCGTGTGCAGCACGGTGGCGGCTTGCTTGCTCTGAGATCATTTTGTACTCACTCGGACATCTCCAAGCAAGCATGCCACTGCCTCACTGTGTGCACCCACTGCCGCCGCCTTTCAACTGGTCCCCCGTTGAAAAAGTTTGAGGACCCATGACATAGTGCCTTATATAACCTTTATCTATTTCAATGTACCTGACATAGAAAACTGCACTGAAATGAGTGAGCACTAAACTATTTGTCTATTAGCTAACTCTCATCTGATGCATTTTAGGAACACTAATTACTTACTGTAGATACTTTGGATATTTCTGCGCGTATATGTATCAGATCCTCTTGCAAAAGTTTCTGCTGGTATGAAATTTTTTCAGTGTGTTGTGGTTGGTCTTTGTATTGTTCCATCTGCCTATGTAACACTTCCAAGACAGATTCCAACTGATCCTAAAGAAAAGAATGTTAAAAAATAAACAAAAAACAACAGATTCAATCACATTTAAAGAAAAAAGTATATATACATGTATAATACTTGCATATCATTACATGTTAATAACTGCTTAATATATGTGCTTTACACACACACACACACACACACACACACACACACACACACACAGAAGTATATAATATAATATGTATCCACTTTCTTCCATTTTCTTTGAAAAATAAGTATAACTTATACTTGGTCTCTGCCACAGGACAAAATTGTGGGGTTATTTATACAAGGAAAAAAACTCTACTGGCTTAATTTTCTGTTTTAAGCTATTTCTCCACCAAACTTAAGTTGGTCTACTAAAAAAATACACATATCTTAGGGTGCAAAGATCTTTAGTTCTTCTGGAATTGGCACTCAACTTTAGATGCTCAGGTCTTGGCTGTGACCAGGACTACCTTGCCCAAACAGAACCGAGCACAAAATATGTCCCAGTGCCTAGAGAAGTCAGATCTGTCCTTGGTGGCATATGCTTTAGTCACATCATTGGTGCTGGATGAGATGGAGATTGAAATCAGGGAGGGGAAAAAAGAGGAGGCAGTAATGGGTGACTTCAAGAACCCATACATTGACTGGATACATATATGTTCAGTTCTTGATGTCCTAAATGAGTGCAGCCTAGAACAGTTGCCAACCACAAAGGAGGCAATCCAGTATTTATTCCTAGATGGGATTCCTTAGTAGGGAATATGGAATTTAAATGTTGTTGAACCAATTGGAAACAGTAATCACAGCACTATCATGTTTAACAACATTAGTAGGAAGATTCTAAAGAGGTCTGAGGCAGACTCATTTGGCTTCAAATGAAGTGTGTTAAATCCCCTCCACATGCTTGGAGATTATTCAGCTATTCAAATCCACAATAACAAAAGCTCAGCTACAATGTATACCTCAAGTCAGGAAAGACAGCACAAATTCCAAAAGATTAACAATTATCTTAATGTCTGCTCTGGATATTAGCTGAAAGCATTATTAGAGACAGAATCAGCACATAAAGAGACAAGAACTGCTGCAAAGAAAGTCCTGATTCACTAACCTATCAGAGTTCTTTGGGAGTGTCAGTAGACATGCAGACAAGGGCAATCTGGGAGACACATTATTAATATTATTATTAAATTATTAATAAATCCTATTTTCATCTCAACTCTCCTTCCACTATGAGGGTAACAGCTGATTTTACTATTCAAAATAATCAACTGCAATGATTTTTTTGATTGTAAAACCTATTAGGAAACTAAAGCGTATGTAGAATGGCAATAATTTTTACTTTATTTTCTTTCAGAGCTCTTATTTTGTCTTCTAGGTCTTGCAGAATCCTGTCTTGTTCACAAAAGACACTTAGCTTCACCTATAGACAAGAACATACATCACAAGGTTAGATCAATAGTACAGCATTGCGCTTTGCTTGGCTGAGAAAGGCAGTTGCATCCTGCTAAAGTGATATTTTATACTTACATCAATATCACTTTCTCCAATCCTGATGGGCTTTGTATTTCGTTCCTTTAATGTATCACGTCCTGTCACCTAGAAAGAGAAGGAAAATTTAAAAGTAAAATTCATGCAACATAAATGAACAATTACAAAACGTTTTAGAATGATTTAACCCTATAAGTATTTCAAACATTCAAAAAGATTTTTAACCACATAACTACTTAAGCTACCTCTAGAATTCTATTTCAACAATTTGAATTCTAAACAAATGGTGTAACTGCCCAGGCCCCATGCAGTCTGTAAATATTATACGGGAACCCTAAACAAATCCTTTCTATATGAACATGAAATAGAGCAGAGCAGGTTATTTACATCTTTCTAAAAATTGGTACAACTCTAATCTGATGCAACTTTTTCTATATTTATGCCCAGAAATAAAGACCACAAAGTATAAATTAAAATTAAGAATCACTGGTTCACGGACAAATGCTTGGATTTCTTGGACTTGCTTTCTTTTAAAATTTGTACTTCTAAAAATGCTTTCATATTCGTAAAGACCACAGTTCTTGTAACTAGTGGCTACGCTGCAGTTGCTGTATTGGTCTTGATCCAAAAGTGTGCAATGGACCTTTTTAAGAACAATGTTCCATATACATACAGTTTCACTTGCAGTGTGTAGATGATCACCACACTGAAGCATTTTGTCTCTGTGTGATGTTAATTTCCTGCAGTACAGTGGACAGAGCTTACAGGAGTTGATGCAAGCTGCACTGAGAGCAGACCTACTGCACTGCTATATATCCCATGATGCCCAGACTCAACCATAGGCAGAAATCAAATGTTTATTAGTGCAGACTTGGGTGGAGTTAAGATGTTTCTTTAGAAAAAAGCATTAGCCTCAAATAACAACAGGGAATTGCAATTATCCTCATAGACAGACAAGCCCAGATAACACTGCCTGGTGAGTACAAAACAGACTGAAATCCTTCTGTCATAACTGATGTCTATTTAAATTTGACTTCAAAACTGACAGGAAACCTGCCTGATCATCTACCTTGCATGGCTGAGAGGCATTCTTTCCTTTAAGAAGATTATAACCTTTAACACCTCCCCCCCCCCACACACACACAGTTCTTATGACACATGCAGTACTTTTCAAGGTTTCTAAGTTTTGTTTTTTAAGAGTACATGTAAGTCAGAGCAGAGCCTGTTGAACAGTGGAACAGAGTCACTGTTGAAAAAGAGAACACAGCCAGAAAAGGACTAATGAAAACCCTCTGCAAAGAACAAACAGGAACAGAGTATTGAAGAATCCTGGCATTACTACACAAAAGTGTCTCAAAAAATAACTGCAATATATGTTTGAGAAATATTATACAAAGCTGTAGTTTTCACTACAGTCTCATGCGCAATTTATGGAAGTTATTTTTTCTCTTGTCTAATTTTCAGAAGAGATTAATTGTTGCTAAAGTAATTACTGTATTTAATATAATTTTTAATTGCTTATCGTACTGATGATGTTTCTAATGCACTGGTGAGGAATATGTGGCCCTCCAGATGCTGCTGGACTAGAACTTGATTCATCCCTAAATTGTATAACCCAAGATCAGGGGTCTCCCTTTTCCCCCAAGTTAGTGAATGGCTACAATGCAACATCTCATTTTGAGGTGTGCCACTCCCCCCCGCCCAACACTGCAATCTGTAGAAGGTTACAGAAAAGGAGGGGGCAGTTCCACCCATTGCAGCAGAGAGAATTGGATGGTTTGTTAAAATAAGTTGGTTTGTTGGTATGTGTTGTTGTTCATATTCATGTATGTGCGCATTTTGTTTGAGATTGGGTTCGGTATGCAATGTTAATGAGAGTTTTGCTTGTGAGCATTTCTTTGAGCATCAGCTGTTTGTCTTCTGTGAAATGTGATTTTTTTTTTTTTTTTTTTGCCTTGTTAGGGAAAATATATGATTGGGAGATCATTTCTTGGCCAAGTAATTGGTCATCACTTGGACATCACTTTGTCTTCTGTGAAACAGGTTCTAGAGCAGAAAGGTGTGGTTTCAAAAGAGTGGTTGTGTTTGGAGTTCAGCCTTCTCTTTTGTCTTTTACTTGGATTATTGGGCAACTTGCATTTCTTTGAAAGTCTGTAATTTGCCTTATGGAAAAATCAGTATTTTGTGTTGAGTCATAGCCACAAAGGCAGACTTTTATGAGAGTATCTATGGCACCCACAACAATGCAAATTTTCCTTCCAGTACAAAAGTACCAGGAACCTCTGCATGCCTGAACAGCACACTGTGCATATATTTACACTTAAATCTTCTGCACTTGTTACATACAATATACAAGATGTAAAATTAAACTGAGAGTATTTTGTTTCTGACAAGTTAAGTAACATCTCTTTTCCCCAGAAAGTGAAACAATGGACAAGTGTTTTTAGTCAAGTCTCAATTAAAATTTGATAAGACCTCTTGGGACCACATAAAACCACATCAGGAAGATAATCCTGAAGTCCACAGAAGAATATTTTAAATTGTTATTCAACTGTTGACATATCAGGCTAATAAAAAAGCTAAAAGTGTAAGCAGTGAGCCAGGAAATCACGAATTCAAAAGTCACTTTATTTATGAATTCAGTAGGTAGCCTTAGACAACTATACTCTCTCTATTTTCTTCAAAGTGGCTATAATACTGCTGACATGCCAAATAGGGTTGCTGTAAAGATTATTGAGGCATGTAATGGCAGCAAACCATGGGTGACTTAATCTAGATTTTGGGGTGCTGTGTCCTTTTCAATATGCAACCAGAGAGAAGCCTGATTAAGTTATTCCATGATGTGTAAACCCAAACACTATGGGTTAAACAACTATAGGCTAACACACAATATTAACCCATAGTGAATTCACCCTAGATCTGCTACAGTTATGTGAGAACCAGACCAACGTACATGAAGCACTTTGAACAACCAGAAAGCACAATATAAATGCTAGGGTTAGTATCATTATTTATCTTATCATTATTTCTATTTACCATTCATGACTATTTGTCCCAGCTTCATCTTCAAGTTCCCATCATTGTAGACTGATAAAATGGAAGCCAGAACATCAAACACAGGTGGGCATATTGCCCCTAGGCAATAGCTATATTTAGGCTTTTTTCAATGTAGTGAAAGGCTTTTTATTTTTTGAAACACCTACTTATAATATTTTGCAAATCTATACTTTCTAGGATAAGGAAGACATTGAGGCATACTAAATATTAGACCAACGGAATATAGTACTTGGTATAAAAACAAATGTGCGAGCAAGTGAACCTTTCTGTAATCTTGAAGGTAAACAATGAACAGAAGAGAAAAATATGCAATTATATTATATAATAATATATGTAAAATTATCTCATTGTCAAAGCAGCAAAATTAAAACATAACTAGCATGCTTTTGTAATTCTACAAATATAAAAATGGAATCACCACCAATAGTTTCCAATGAATGAAAAAATGAAACCAAGCACCACCAGGCCAGCCAATAATATTGCACAAAGCCCCCAAAACACACATCTTGCAGGAAGCTGTGGTATTATTTATGTATCATGAAACACCTGTGGATGCTTAGCTATAGAAACACTGACTGCCATTTGAAAAAGCAATGGAATGGTTACATTTCCGGTTCAGGCAATCTTACATTTATACTGGACAGTAAACCTTGTGCTGAGCTCTTTAGCACTTTGTAAACCATGTTGATCAGAGGTCCATTATTTTTTATCTGTTTCAAACAAAATTTTAATACATATCTTGTTACAGAAGAAAGGTTGACACGAGACGCCAATGAACAATAAAATAGTCAGGAAAGTAAATATATAAGCTTTTATCCAGTGTTAGTCCCATTTAGAGCTGACCAATTGAAGTGAATTAAACTTAAGGTAGACTAACATTGGATATAACCCACTGGATACAAGCCATGATATAATTTTAATAGTTCTATATTGCTTTGCTGCATATATTTGATTTTCTAATTCCATTTGTTGAAAACTGTAGTGGCATGAGGAATGGATAAGGATGAAGAACATAACGTTCCTTTCCTTCTCATATGCTCTTCTTTTCTACAATCTCAATCTTCTATAACTACTATTGTCTTTTCAATATCAAATTAATTATTCTTTCAGTAATAGAATATAAGCTACTGACCACTTTTATCAAAGTGAAAAAGTATACTACAGTCTCCCACGTTGTTTAGTTCTGCCAGTCTATCTGGTCATATATGTTTAAATATGAAACCGTTTTCAGCATGGTGACTACTAGAGTGCTTGTGGACTGCAGACTTTGCCAACAAACAGATGATAACTTTTCTAATAGCTCTTTCACTAACACATTGATCATTACCAATATCTTCAAAGCAGCCAAAGGCACCACATGGTAGGTAGCAATGATCTTAGGGGCACACTGAAATTTCACATAGCAAGCTTCAGCCTGGATTCTACGGCAGAGGAGGAAACTTAGGACTCCAAGGGTTATTTTTCATTAGCCCTTTGCCAGTGAAAAGATTGTGGAAGAGATTCTTTGAAGGCCATGCATCAAGGTACATATTCTCCAGGTCCAACTCACCTTGCCCCAAGACCCCTTCAGCAGCAAGGAGATTGCTATGGGATTTCATATCCTTCATACTGAAAGGATTTCTTGTCACATGTTGCTTTGGGCACTTTTATCTCCAAAATTACACAGAAAGCTACCCAAAATCACCTTTTCTATGGTGGCATCTCCATGTCAGAATACCCTTCTTTAGAGCATTTGCATGGCATGGATTTTTACCTTTAGATGCTGGGTGAAATCTGGTTTGTTTCATTATGCAAACTCCTAATGAAAACTACAACTGTTCACTTGCTATCTTTGCCTAATATTTAATTATCTGATGTTTTATCTGTTTTGTTACGCTGATTCTAATTGTGTTTTGATTTAGTTTGTTATATTTCAATGTTGAATTGTATTTTTAAAATACATTTTTTGAAAAGTTGTATCCACTTCCAGTCTGGCCAAATATATTACCATTTGTATTTTTAGCAGAAAAAAATAAGGCTCAGCTATAATCACACAGTCGTGATTATATAAACAGAAAGAATATCTTTTTTAGCACTTACAATTTGTAAATTAGGTTACAGTGGGTGGGAGAACAAATGGAATTTTACTTGTGAGCAAGGATTTCCAGCTTCCGCCTTCCTCTTGTACCTTTTGAACAGTTGCTTCTAAGGGCTGAGGGAACTTCAAGTAAGGTGTAAGATCTGGCATAGGGAGGGGAGTATGGTTGGAAGGAGGAATTGGCAAAAAAGAACAGATATTCCTCAGCCCACCCCCAGCATTAGTGGAACTATCTTCAAGAGGCTGCTAGAATGCTGTTGTGTTTTCAGTTTATACTGTGTATTTTTAATTTAGAAGTTATTCTAGTTACAGAAAAAGGAAATCAGCATTTCAGATGACTGATAAGCGAGCTCTATAACATAATGCAGAAAAGGAGTAGATTTACTGAAGGCAAAAATGGTAAATTGCTACCTTTCTATTTTATAAAACCAGTCATGCTTTACCTTCAAATCCAGATATTCAAGATCTTTTTTCAGTTGGATGTATGTATCATCAGCCTGCAAACAGAAGAACAGAATGCTAATAAAATGAAGTATACTGCATTATTAGACTCTGAAATATCTGACAAATACTTTCACAAAATCATATGGAACAGGAAATCAGACTGTCCTTAGCATCACTGTATTTATGTTTATGACTGAATGGGTAATGGCAACACATCACCTTGATCCACCTTTCAACATGAAGATAGCATATTAATTTCCTTTCCATAGGCAGGGCTAATGCATAAGATTACAAAAGCCACTTGTATATTTTAAAATATTTTAAACAAAGGCATTTTTATGGGGAGGTTTGGATGTCATCTGTATTAAGTTTATTATATTAAAGCTTCCCCAGAAGAGAAGTTTACATTTTTGTAATGTATCTATCATTTTCAGCTAAATTTCAGTAAAAGTTTAAAAGATGCCTTCCTTAAAAGGGCTTCATCGCATATAAGTAAATAATGATTCTAAAGCATCTGATCATAGGTTGTGATCTCTGAACCACCCTGACTAGAAACTAATCTTGGCATTGCATGACCAGTAAATAATATTGCTCTTTCTACTACTTTCTGGTTAACAGAAAGGTACACAACAGGTATTCGTTTGCTCTTAAAAAATAAACACAAACCCTTACTAAAGCTCACCAAACCCTTGCATTCTGGTTATTCATGATAATATTACAAATACGTTATGTTCTCATATAATTTTTTTGTTATTAATTAAACTAAGATTATTTTACTAGGTGAATGTGTGACTATTTTCAGAGATGGTTACTGTCTTCTACTCCATGAGAGCGCTTTCTTATGCAACTCATTTTATTCTAAACTACAAACTGTAGACCCCTGCCTAAGCCCCTTAAATAGCAATTTATGCAAAGTTTATTACAGTATTTGCCTTTGATTATTAAAATCTATAATCAAAATTTATAATGCCTTTGATTATTAAAATCTAAATCTATGATGCAAAAAGACAAGTGGATTATGATAAACTAATGTATGCAATGGCACAATGTTGAGGTAATGAGAATGGAACAATAGATAGGTAATATTGGCATTATCTCTCATTCATTAGGATCCTCAGTTTGAAGGAAAAATACAAGCAGGATGTGGTAAAGTAAGCCACTTCCATCATGAATGATTAGAATGACTTACTTTTTTCAGCCAAAATTAACACACTGGCAAACTAGTAAGCTTTCCTTTTTAACGGATTTTTTTAAGGCAACATACAAAAAATGTCAAAGCAAAAGAACTGAGAAGCAATTATTAATATGCAACAGCACCCTGAAATGTGCTTTAAAAATGCTCATAATCTCCAGCACATGCCAGAGCAAAGTAAAATCATGAATGATCCAGGGATTGAACATACTGAAGAATGGGCAAGAAAGCACAGACTCAAGCATGGCACCACTGAAGCACTTGCAGAGTCACAGAATGTCATATACAGCACAGATGAGCTAATTAACAGCTGACCTGATAAGTGGAATTAGTTGGCAAGTGCTGCAGTAATTGTGCGATTGTGTAATTTCGAATATTAGCCAACTTAGCCTGATGTCTCCTTAATCGAATGAGAAGCAATGTTAGCTCTTCAGGCTGTAGGTATTTGGACACATTGTAAAGAGGAAATTAGCAGTTTTCAGGGAGAGTCACTGTAGCTATAATTCTTCACCTATGGTGCCCAGAAAATGTATATTTGACACAATTAAGCAACTATTTCATATTTTTGCTTTTGGCTTGAATATTCTACTGTAATGTCAGAACAGATAAAAGCTAAGCAGGGGAAACTCCTCTCCTGACTACAGTAAACATTCTTGTTTATAACAACTTCAGTGGCTGCTGGACATAGGCCACATTTACAGCTAGGAAGTTCAAGTTATTTGATTCCATTACCAAGGCATGAAAATCTATAAAGACCACTTTGGAGTTAGACCTCATTAAAATTTGTACTCAAATCAACTTGCACACAGAAGAAGAAAGACATTGTAAATGCTGATACTTACTGATTTCCCATGCAAACTTGGAGCACTTACAGTATGGGTCATATATCCCATTGTAGGCATGGAGCGCCTATCCAGGTGTGTTGAGTTCTGTGTAAGTTGAAAAATAGTATTAAAGAATTTCATGTAAAAATATATTTTTCTCTTTTAAAATCCTTTAAATTTTCAGTTGCCTTCCAGCCATTGTACCAGGGTGTATTTATTTAAATAAAACTTCTTCCAATCAGTATTTCATATACAGGTCTTCCTCAAAGATAGTGTGGGTTCAGTTCCAGACCTCCACAGTATTGCAATAAAGCCAGTCACGTGAATTTTTTTGGTTTCCCAGTACGTGTAAAAATTATGGTTACACTATACTGTTGTCTACTAAGTGTGCACTTGCATTATATCTAAAAGAACAATGTACATACCTTAATTAAGAAAAAAAAACTTTACTGCAAAAAAATACTGATCATCATTTGAGCCTTCAGTGAGTCATACTCTTTTTGCTGGTGGAAGGTCTGGTTACAATAGTAACATTGCAGATCACCATAATAAATAAAATAACGAAAATGTTGGAAATATCACGAACATTACCAAAATGTAACACAGAGAAATGAGGAGGGGAAATGCTGTTGGAAAAATGGAGCTGATTGACTTGCTCAACGCAGGGTTGCCACAAACCTTCAATTTGTAAACTGCAATATCTGCAAACCACAATAAAGCAAACTGCAATAAAATGAGGTATGCCTGTATATCCTAGACAATGACACAACCTAATGGACTGATCAAGCCATTAAAATAAATTTACACTATCTTTTATATAATTACACAGCTGTGACTTGATAGCTTTACCAATTTCATAAATGTTCCATTGTATGGGGAATATTTATGTAAGGCTTTTATATACCATTCTAGAGTAGACACTCTCAGAATGGTATACAATTATTTAAAACCGCAAACATAAAACCATTAACATATCCACAATATTCAAAAAATTTAAGTGAAACGAACAACAATTAAACAATAAGTAATAATAATACACATAATAAAAACTGTTCCACAGCAGCCAATCATTGTTGGTGGCCATGGTGGCAGATGGGGAAAGCATGTGGGTGAAAAGAAAGTGATTTTAAAAAGGGTCTTGTCTCCTTCCTTGAGGGAGAGTGAGAAAAATCATGGTTTAAAAGAGAAAAAATTATATGAAAGGAAAAATCAAGGAAAAAGGAAACTACCTTTTTTTACAGTATGGCAGGAGGAAAGAAGGACTCCTGTTCACTCCATGATACTGAGCTATGTACGTTTTTCTCTGATCTAGGCCTTGTGCTGCTATAGCAAACCCCATATGTGTGATGTACAGAGACCATGAGGAAGAATGTCAGGAAATAAAAAAGTTTTAAGTTGGTACCTAAATGTATAAAGGGTTTGCACCAGGTGCACTTCCCTGGGTTGCTGGTGCCATAGTTGGGGTGCCAGAGCTGAGAAGTCCCTTTCTCTCATAGCCACCATCATTATTTCCTTATTTAACTAATAAAGTACAAATCACACACATTCTTCACATTTGCCTACTACAGCTCAGGTGTCTCTGCACACCTCTTTTTTGTCTCTTTACAAGCAAGAAAGGACTGAGGACCTTACAGAAGCAGAGCTAGTAGTTCATTACTGAACAGTGCATTTCACTTTTATAAGTTGAAAAAGAAATGTCGTTGTTGCTTAGATAGTTAAGGTTGCTCTACAAGTAATGACTTGTATGAAGGAATGTTGGTTTTGCCTAAAACTTTGCATGGTTACGCTGACACAATCAATGCATTAGGTACATACGTATATCCAAAAATCTATCTGTATAGATCTGTACAAATGCAGACTTTGTACCAGCAGATGTTGCAATGAAATGGCTAGGAAGTTGTGTGATGTCAAAGGAGAAGCCATGTGGCATCCTTACACACAAATAATATGTTAATTAAAGGTTAATGTTTTGTTAAAGGCCATAAAAAGCAGTATACAAATGGGCACAATGGATGATCTTCCTAGTGATATACAGGATGACATTTCTTGTAATCAGGATCTTTGATATTTGATCAATCCCTGTTCTTTCAATATTATGTCTGGAAGAAAAAATACAATGCTTTATCTAAAAAAGATTATTTTCCCCATTCTTATTTATTCGCATAGAAAAGCAGCCTTGGGCTGAATATAAACTAGTTTAGTTGCACTTAATCACATTAAAATTAACATGGCACGTAAACTGTGATTAATTTGAATCCCAATTAAAACAATAAGATTAAATGTAATAAACTTAGTCTGGATCCACCCCAAAATGTTTGTTAGAACATCCTTGACTCACTTTAGAAGATGGAGTTTGTAGTGTTAACACATTTATAGTCATGGTATGTTTCAATCCTTCACGGACATGCACATGGTAGACATGTCATGAGCGGAGCTGGCTGGAGCCGACTTGTTCTGTTTCTATATTTCATTAAATTTTCCTATAACTAATGAAGTTTACATTTCATTCAGATTACTTTGTTGCAAGTGAATGGGCAATGAAGCTATATTATGGCAATCATGACACACAAACAAATTTCACTAAAACTGCAACTGAATTATAAAGGATTTATTTCTCAGCCAGGCACTGAAGAATAAATCTCTTCACCTCAAAAATACAGATATGAGTGAATGATGTGAAAACACTGACAGTAACAAATTATCCAATAATCTGCAGTTTAAGACTTAGAAACTTGGTAGAGCAATTCCATTAATACTATCTGGTAAATCCAAACAATACACAGATACAATTTACCAACCTTTATAGTTTGGTTTCGAATCTTCCTTGGGGATGCAGCAAAAGGAATGTCTATCATCTGTCTCTCCTCAGATGGTTTGACAGTAACCCTTTCTGCCGGAGTGTGTGGTCTTCGGGGAGCAAAGATTTTAGGTGGTCCTGGAGGAGGTATATCAGAAGGAGATGGGGGAACAGAAACTGAACGCGGAACATCTAGTGAACTTCTTCCCTTACCACGGTCTGTAAAGTCTGGAGAACCAATATAAATAGGTGCTGTTGGACTGCCGTGTTTAAACTGCTGTCTTTGTTGCCACTCATACAGCTGCCATACAGTACCATCTTTATTAGCTCTTCTTTCATCATGGGACATCTTCAAGTGGCTAACCCGGTCTTGAGCATACTTATAGTCACTTGGCAAATTGCGATTTGGGGGAGGTGAGCTTCCTGAAGGCTGCCTGGAATTCTTTGGCAATGTGTGATAACTTTCAGGAAAGGATACAGAATGGCTGGGCACTTGGCGAGTAAGAGTCTGTTCAGATGCAAGACTGAGAAAAAAGGATTTTATCAGTGACTCAAACAGCATGCAGGTATTAAAGTCAAGATTCTCAAAATATAATTTTAGCATTACTTTAATAGATGCAAACAAATAACTGGAGCATTTTACAGGTCACAATAGCCAGTTAGTCATTCAAGGATGCAGATAGTTAAAAGGTTGGTTTCACAGAACAGAGGGTGATTTGAAAGAGGGATGCCCTATCACAGTGTCTGATCAACTACTTGTGACATTGGTCTTGCAGATATTTGTATTGTTCAAAGCCCCGCAAAAGCTGTTGACCAAAAACAACAGTGAGGTCCAAGGAGTAAAAATATGTTTTTCAACACCACAGGAGGAAATCCCAATCCTGAGTCACTCAGCACTCTCAAAAATTGCTACCAGTCTCAAGCCAGTTTGCCAGTAGGTGGTACAATATACCATAATCAAAAATGACTTCTTTATTCTAAAGAAATTAATCATCTTAATCACACAAGTTGAGGGAAAAATGCCTCACAACACATTTATTCAATAAATGTATGCACATTGTGTGAAGAGAAAAAGGCCATTTTTGATCACAATGATTTGCAGAGACTATCCCTCTGCTTAGGATGTTACTGATAAAAGGCTATCATAATCCAGGAAAGGAAAGGAAAGGAAAGGAAAGGAAAGGAAAGGAAAGGAAAGGAAAGGGGCACACCACTTAAGGTTATACCCAAGTGAAAGAATATCATTTTACCACCTGGCTTTATAACAAGGTTATTTATTCTGGTTCAAGACAAAAGTAGCTCAAAACCTGACCAATAACAGGATGTCATTGTGTCACATAAGCAGTCTCATCTTTTCCACATTTAAGGAGCTATTGATTTAATACATCAAGCAACTCTGCTAGGTTTTCTGCCAACTTGACATTCAAAGAAACCTTCTTCCTTTTTGCTTGGAAGAAAACAAGCAAGGACTCATAACACTTGGACTGCAATCAAGAGCATAACTAGGGGTGGGCAGCAGGAGCTGTTGTCCACAGTCAGCCTACATGAAAACACAGGTAATTTGGGGATAAACATTCTGACTGTCATGGAAAATGTCCCAGAAAACAATTTCTAAACTAATTAGCTAGCATTTTACCTAAAATATTAATCCTGTCAGTTATGGCTCAGCGCTCACATGGATGGAGGAAATAAAATAAAGGACAGCCACCTGCTCTTAATAGGCTTCCAAATTCTGACAGAGGAAAGAATAGGAGGGAAAAAATGAACAAGTTCCTCCCTAGTTTCTGCAGCTCAAATTCTAGGCATATTTCTAGTGGACCACAAAGCATTCTCTTCCCCTGCTCAAATTTCAAGCATGTGTCACAGGCCAAATTCCCAACCTATGTAATGGGAATCACTATCACCCCCTAGATATGATAACCAATGAAAGAATTCTAGTTTTTCAAGCTTTTTGCTTCTTGTAATTCCTTTCAGTGGACACTTCAAAGGAGCACAAGTCCTTTGCTTTCCTATCCATTTTCTCTGCATTTTCCAGCAACCAGAAAGACAGTTTTACTACTTCAATTATTTATTGGATATTGGAATGGAACTGTTTCTTTCTTGATGTTGCAATGTCTACAATAGTAAAATCTGAGAATCAAATATCTTCCATCCTACAGTTGTTAGGAGAGGACATTCTCCTAATGAGTATGTTTCCTTGAAAACAACCTTTCACATTTGGTAGAATCGCAAGGCACCCTATCTCAGGAAGTGGTCTTCCTGGTTTTTTCCCCCGCCTTATACCAGAGTGCTACATGGGAAGAGTGAAACTTAACCTTAAAATTGGTCTTCCACTGGGAATAGGAGTGCACATGCTATAGAAACTATTATAGTATTGTGTAAACCCTTGCATAAGCATTTGCATCCCAACAAGCAACTACTTTTTGTGCACTGTCTTCTTACCTCTTTCAGATATGAATTTTCAACCAATCAAATATATAACATGTCCAGGATCCAGAGTAATCATTCTGGCATATGTGATCACCTTAAGTATTGTGAGGATTCTGACTTTTCCGCCTTCCCAACATCAGCTGGTTATTGTGTATCTTGCCCCCTTAACTTGGTGGTAGGAAAAATTAGATTTCCTTTGTTGCAAAAGTAGGTAAGCTGGTGCCCTAAAGGTGTACAATTCCAACCATTGGCAATGTAGACCAACTCATGGAAGTTGCTCAAAACATGTAGAGAAGTTCTATGGGCAGTCCAAAATCTCTCATGCAGAAATCAGCCTGTGTGAACTCCTATGTAGGTATTTATCATATGCTTTTGATTCCCACTCACCATTGTTTTACAGGTTATTTTGATGCTGTTGTGACCCTCTACTTCTGTTTCTGTATGTAAACAGTACTTTGGGTATTATTTTAGAGCAAGTAAAATGTACTATTTTCCTGTAAAAATAAAAAAGTTTTGATTGGGTATTTGTGCTTTTCTGCTGTACCACAGTGCGCCTTGAAATTCTGTAGTAAGTACGCAGGAAAGGAAAGGCTCCGTGTAGTGCTTGAGATTCTGTGACAGGACTGAAACTACAGCTATCAACAGTCTTGTGTATAAAACCTCACTAATGTAAAAACTCCCACAAGTCTCAAAAGCATTTTCAAAGTCAGAGGCTTTATTGTATGCATAGCCCTCTAGAGAAATGATGTCTTATTTTTAACAGTGTAGAAAGATGAAAATTTAGGCTATGCGATTAAGGGGAGGTGTCACTCAAGCCAAGAAAGTGGCAAACAAAAAATCCCACCTATACAAAGCATCCATTACAGAGAGTGGACTGGATCCAGGGAATTCTGCAAACTGGAAAACACAGAGATAGGAAGAGGGTGGTGATTTTACTAATTCTCCCTCTCCCCTGCATCCCTCACTCTGACAACAAAAGGAGCTTTTCCGATCACAAAGAGTACTCTTGATCCAACCCAACATTTCTGAGTTAAGTAGGGTTAAATAGCTATTTGTTGCATCTATCATTCCAGTGCATAAAACTATGTGATGAAAACTGTGGCAGCGCAAAGATACAGGTTCCACAACCACAAAAGTAGAAAATAAATCACCAAGATACATTATTATACCACTGTGTGGCTAACAGTCACCACCTATTGACTTAAGGAATGAAAGGCTCAGATAAGCTGGAACAGAGAGATCTTCCTCCTACTACTATATACTAAATTTTTTAAAAAGCTTGTTAAGCAGACTCTTGACCAGCTTGTTTTTTATATATCTGAAGCAGAGAGATGCAGCCACAGAAAGTCTTTACACAAGTCTGGATAAGTTAAGGAAAGTCACAAAAGGAACCTTTCCTGTAGCCACCTGTGCCTCCTAAAAGCTTTTCTTGGAGGGTCAGAAATGGGGCAATGCTGGTTGTTGTGGATATTTAATGATGCACCTCTTCCTGTAGCATTTGCTGCACCCCTTCTCCCATTTTTTCAAGAAGGCAGTTTTGCTGGGAGCACAAGTGGTTGCAGGGGAGAGAAGGACCTGGGAAAAGGCAGGTTGCTCACCTGTAACTGTCGTTCTTTGAGTGGCCATCTGTGCATTTACACATATGGATGCTGCGTCTGCACAGAGCCTGCAGCCGGGAAGATTAAAAAGCTTAAAAGTTTTGGCGGGAACTCTGCACCCTTCCCCGCCTTACAGTATAAGAAGGCAGAGTGCCCGCCACTTCCTCAGTCTACAGAAGACCAACTGTTCGCCCCCAAGCGGGAACGTAAAATATTACAGAGCACATGTTGAAAACTAAGGCAAAACATATACGTGTGTGTGTGTGTGTGTGTGTGTGTGTGTGTGTGTGTGTAGAGATACCCTTTTATGGATCCTCCACCAAGTAAAATATGGTACCGTAGAAACCCAGTCACCGACACCAAGTGGGGCCGGCGGGTGGGTTGTGTGAATGCACAGATGGCCACTCGAAGAACAACAGTTACAGGTGAGCAACCTGCCTTTCTTCGTCGTGGCCTCTGTACATCACACATATGGGTGATTAGCAAGCTTACCAGACCCGGAGGTGGGCGGTGTTGTCACTGAAGAACAGAAGAAAGGACTGCATGACCAAAGGAGCAATCCTGTCTGGCACACACACTGAGGTGGTATTGTCTGGCAAAAGTGCAAGGAGTAGTCCAAGTGGCAGCCTTGCATATGTCATGGAGAGGAATGCCAGCAGAAAAAGCAGAAGAAGCCGCATCAGCCCTTGTGGAATGGCCTCTGGGCATGACAGGTAAATCCAGTTTAGAAAATTGATAGGCCAGCTCGATGGTCTGCACAATCCATTTCAAAAGTTTTTGGGATCCAATAGGAGACCCTTTGTCATGTTCTGAATACTTGATGAAAAGATGCCTGGTATTGTGAAAGGGTTCTGTGCAAGACCTGCAGAAAGCGAGGCAGTGACTAACGTCGAGAGTGTAGCGAGCGTTCTATAGGTGTAGATGGAGTAGGAAAAATGGTTGGTAAAATAATATCCTGATTGACATGAAAGAGTGACACGACTTTTGGTAAGAAAGCCAGGTCAGTACGCAGAATGACCTTCTCCTTGTGGAAATTGAGATAAGGAGAGTCTATATGGAGGACACAGTTCACTGGCCCTTCTAGCTGATGTGATAGTGACAAGAAAGGCAGTTTTTCAAGACAAAAGACATAAGTCGATAGTCGCCAAGGGCTCAAAAAGAGGTTTAGTGAGCGCTTGTAGAACAACCGAAAGGCTCCACTTCAGATCAATGGACCTAACTGGCGGCTGAAGGTTCTGTAATCCTCTAAGGAATTGACAAATGAGGACGTTAGAGAATACCGATGAGCCTGCCACCTGGCACGGTAGTGAAAGAATGCTGCAATGTAAACTTTGATGGATGAAGGTTTCAGTCCAGTCTGGTATAATGCCAGAAGAAATTGAAGAATATTTTCAATGGAGGCTGAATGAGCAACAAAGTGATTGGTTTCAGCAAAAGAAGTGAAGCATTTTCATTTAGCTGCATAGGAGTGGCAAGTCATAGGTCTTAGTGCAGACTCGAGAATGAATTGAATATCAGGATGCAGAGCGCTTGGATCCAATGGAGGATTTGTTGGTATCGAGGAAGGACGAGCAGTAGGGTCTGGACACCGCCAGGCTGGCGTTGGCACCACAGGAGCCGTCGGTACCAAGGGAGTAGTGTGGCTTATTGAATGAGCCAGGCTGTTAGATTGAGTGAATGAAGGTCCAGGTGACGTACCGCCCTGTTCTGCTGAGTTATTAGATGAGGTATGAGAGGCAGTCACTGAAAGGTGTTGCCGGACAGGCGGAGAACAGTAGAAAACCATGGTTGGTAGGGCCACCAGGGAGTGACAAGAATTCCCTGAGCCTCATCAAAGGTGATCTTGGCAAGAGTTCTTGTAATGAGCGGTATCAGAGGGAATGCATAAAGGAGTGTGTTCGTCCATGAGACTTCTATCTGACAAGCTGTCACATGCGATTTGTGAATCGTCTTCATCTTGTGGTCCGTCCTAGCACTGAACAGCCCTGAGCCGTCGAAGGGCATGTTCTCAATGCGGCACTTTGCTTCATCCGGAAAGTTACAGTTCTGGAGCCAGGCATGGCGATGGAGGGCTACAGCACCAACAAGGGCCCTCGAGTTTCAACTGACATGATGTCTCGCCGTGGAAAGTTGTTGGATCACTACCTGCATTGCCTCTTTGGTGAAAATACTGGCCAGGTCCCTCTGCTGCTCCAGAAGCGACACTGTGATATTGTCCAGTTTTTTCATAGGAAAACACTGGTAACGAGCCAGCGTCACCTCACAGTTAGAAATCCGGAGGCCGAGACCTGTGGCGGCATAAATACGGCAAGCCATCATGTCGATCTTCCACTCTTTTTCGTCGCAAGGAGTGGTGTGTTCCCCCAACTCATGACCCTGGGACGACTCCACGACGATCGAGTTCGGTCTCGGGTGATGCAGGAGAAATGGAATATCCTGTTCACAAACTCAATACATGGATTCGTAACGTCGTGAAGTTGGCTGCAGCTGATTGGGGAAGTTCCATGGTTCCATCATAGCTTGATGAAGCATGGTGATAAGTGGCAAAATGATGGCGGTAGATTGCTCACTTTTGACGACGTTGTAAAACTTATCGTTACTGGGATTGAAATGGTGCTGGGCTTCGATCTCCAGTGACCTCGCCAATCTCGTCACCAATTCCCCAAACATCGAGTATGAAACCTCAGGTGAGTTGGGACCTTGAGTGGCGATCACCACGTCTGGTGAAGAGGACACTACATCCGAGTCCTCCAACTCAGAATCATAATGGAGTGGAGGACTGGAAGAGGAGTTGGCCAGTGAAGAAGGGTGTCTGGACTGAGCTGCACCGGACATCGATGGAGCATCCCTTGGGACCAGAGAAAGGGTACGGTGGCGTACCGATGGACAGTACCTGTATGGTACATAGTCATCCCATGGTTCATGATGGGCAGATTCATGAGGCGCTTGCACCCATTCTCCAGAGGGATGGATAGAGACACACTGCTGGTATCACACCTGCTGAGGTGGGGCCCTCGGGGAAGCCTCAGGCGATGGCTGCGGTGTCGGCGAGCGTGCCCTTGGAGGAGCCATCTGTGGAGAGTCCCGGATATCTCCATCAGACATCAATCCCAACATGGCTGCCTCCTGGTGTTCTGGCGAGGACAGGACAGAAGGGACAACCCGTCATTGCCAATTGGAGAGCCAGTCCGATTGGTGTCAGTACCGAAGCGGTGGTCAGGACCGACAGAGCAGACAAACCTGAATCATGGTGTCAGGGCTGATTGGTGTTCTTGGTTTTGTGAGCCATCTTGTCTGCCTTGTCCTTCTTAGGCTTCTTGTGGCCTGAGGACTTGTCTGATCCACTGTGCTTCCTCTTCTCCTTTTGTGTGTGAGGAGATTTAGAGGAGCACTTGCCCTCTGGCAGAGTAGCACCATCAGTGCTACTCTACATTAGTGAGGTTTTATACAGAAGACTGTTGATCAAGATGGAGGGGGCAGAGGGGCAGCCGAAGAGGAGGGTGCACAGTGGACTGGCCTGCTAGTTGATCAGACTGAAGCAGGGCCTGGTCCCATAAGAGTCTGCACAGGCGGTTCTCTCGGTTTTTCTGTGTCTGCTTTGTAAAGGCCTGACAATGGTCGCATTTATCAGTCCTGTGCCCTTCTCCGAGACAAAGGCACAGGTCGTGTGGATCAGTAGGAGACATCTTAGACCCGCACTGAGAGCACTTGCGGAAAGCCGCACGCTGAGCCATCAAGAATGAAAAAAGGAGAAGATAGCAAAGCTATCTAAGAAGAGAAAAAAAATATATATTTTTTTGGGTTAACAGGGAAAAGGGGGAATGTGAAGAAAACTTCTAACAGGGAGGGATAATAACTTGGAAATCATAACAAGAAGCTAAGAGAAACAACAGTTTAAGGGAGAACAGGATACACAATATAGGAACTGAGAGACGAAGGCTCGAGGCACAGTGAACAGCGGTCGCAAGAAGACTGAGGAAATGGTGGGCACTCCACCTTCTTACACTGTAAGGGAGGGAGGGGTGCAGAGTTCTTGCCAAAACTGTTAAGCTTTTAAATCTTCCTGGCTACAGGCACTGCCCAGGCGCAGCACCCATGTGCGTGATGCACAGAGGCCACGACGAAGAACTTTCTTTCCACTAACTTTTCTAAGTTATCTTAGGATCTTGCCGCAACAAAGAGAGATTATATATTATTGGAATCAGGGGAGGAGAGGAGAAGCAAGATACCAAACATGTCAAAACAGGCAACCCTAATTTATTACTAACCTTTTTGTGTCTCCTTTTTGAACTTTTACCCAATGCTCTATGTGAGCCATGTTGTTTTTCCTTTGTGTCTGCTTATTCTGAATTGGTCTGGGAACAACTCCTCGTTTATATAAACCGATGCCATTCTGCTCTACTAGGCCAGTACTTGAATTTAATGAATTGGAAAGCATTCCATTTTTCTCAACAGGCTGAGGTGCTTGAGACCGAGCCACACTTGCCTCTGGATTCAGTGTGCCAGCCTCCAACAGATTTTTAGATTTTTCCCTTTTTGATTCCACAGTGTTCTTCCTGAAAGAGTAATGCTCATCTTCTCTTGATTTTCTCTTTTCATCATGCTTATCAAATGCAGAAGTTTCAGGTGATTTTCTGTAACTTCCTTTTATATCAGTAGGTTCTAACTTCACACAATCTTTACCAACATCCACATGATTAGCTTGAGGAACAGCTTGCTGATCTGTTTTTTCTATTTCTCTATGGGAAACAACAACATATATGCTAAATGTCAACACTTTCTCTTTATTGGATAAAAAATTAACTGATGTTCTGGTTAGATTTTCTAATATGCTCAAACACTTTCTGGAGTTATATTGCCTTAAAGGAAGTGTTCTTGCTTAAAGGAGTGTTATCACAGAGGATGTAACTTTGATGTGTGTGCAGAGAAACTGAAGTGTTAAGTGCAGCATTCTGAAGTTTATTATTTCCCTTGTACTCTACATTTCTTATAAAAACACATATTTAAATTTATCAGTTAAATATTAAATATATGTAATTAGGATAATAAAGATCTGTTAATATTTAACATATGTTGCTAAAGAATGCGTATTATGAAACTGTCATTTTTAATTATTACCTGTTTATGGACTTTATTATTGTCTGGGCAAACTTCTAGATATGAACATGTTTTAATATGGCTTCAGTCATCCAAAATTTAACCACTCACATCAATTATTAAAGTATCAATGGCATCTAACTAGCAACTGTATTTTCTTTTAAACCTCTTTTTCCCCATATCATACAATGAACAAGGAAGAAGGCAGCATAGAGATGTCCAGTACTATCATATGATTACCAAAATATAAATTGCTATTGATACTGAACAATAGAGTATTGTTTGGTTTTAGAGTGGATCTGGCACTTTGTAAGACAGAGAGACCAATCAGTCAGCTAGACAACTCTTTATATTCAGTGCACTTATATTTTACCTTTTGGATGAAAGAAACCCCACTCAGGAAGGCTTCTAAAAGCTATAAAACAATTGAATATACAATGTTGAAAATATAATTAAGACCAATCAAAACTAAATATGTAAGAACAGCAGCTAACATACCAGGTTGCACAGAAAAACCATAAAACACTGAGTAAAACATTTTCAAGATGCTTGAAGCAGGAAGTGAATTAAAAAAAAAATCAAGATTCTTATTACTGAAGAGCCCATAGGCACTTTTCTAGGGAAGGAATTCCGTAACCTAGCTAAAATGACAAATTTTGCTGCTCTCTACAGTGGCCATTTTAAGACATGGGAGGCTAAACAACCCTCAAGGCAAATATGTCTACTTTCTATGCCTTCATATTTTATTAAAATTATGTACCTGTAACTAGTTTCTTCCTAGTAGCTATAAAGAAAATAATATCTACTCTTCTAAAGTCTGATATCATTCATTGTAAGATCCTGAGAACATTTAGATAATGGACTTTTAATGTGTTTTACTTATTTGGTTTTACTTATTTTAAAATAGTCATATACCACATGCCATTATCAAATCATAGAGAGCATTAAAACATTGAAATAAAGAGATAAAAACAACAAAAGCAGCTTGCTTACCTGTAACTGATGTTCTTCGAGTGGCCATCTGTGCATCACACATATGGGTGCTGCGTCTGAGCAGTGCCTAGGGCCAGAAAGATTAGAAAGCTAACGGTTTTTGGCAGGAAAGCTCCGCTCCCCTCTCCCTCAGTACTAGATATAGAGTGGAGTGTCTGCCATTTTCTTAGTCTTTGGAAGACCGATCATTCGCCCCCTTTTGGGAGAGAAAAATATTACAATAAGTTCATCATATACCATGGCTATAAAAGCATGGTACCAACAGACGAATCCACTCAGCAACACTGAGTGGGGCCGGCGGGTGGGTTGTGTGAATGCACAGATGGCCACTCGAAGAGCAACAGTTACAGGTCAGCAACCTGCTTTTCTTCGTCGTGGCCTCTGTGCATCACACATATGGGTGACTAGCAAGCTTACCAGACTCGGAGGAGGGAGGTGTCGTCAGTGAAGAATAGCTGAGAGGACCGCTCTGCCAAAAGAACAATCCTGTCTGGCATACACGTCAAGGAGATAATGCTTGGTGAAGGTACACAGAGCAGCCCAGGTTGCAGCTCTGCAGATATCTTGAATTGGGATTCCTGAGGCGAAGGCAGATGATGCCGCTACTGCTCGTGTGCAGTGACCCTTCGGAGAGATAGGTAAGTCCATCTTTGCTAGTTGATATGCCAACACGATAGTTTGAACAATCCATTTAGACAGTCTTTGAGACGTGACCAGAGAGCCCTTGTCTTGTTCAGAATATTTCACAAAGAGTCGATTAGAGCATCTAAAAGACTCTGTACGTGACCTGTAGAATGCCAAGCAATGCCAAACATCGAGAGTATGTAGGAATCTTTCAATTGGGTTCGATGGTGATAGAAAGAAAGCAGGTAAGATGATCTCCTGTTTCATATGGAACAGAGTGGCAACTTTAGGCAAAAATGTCGACTCCATCCGAAGACCTTTTCCTTATGGAAATTCAAATACGGTGGATCTACTCAAACAGCACAAAGTTCACTAGCACTTCGAGCCAACGTGACGACTATGAGAAAGGCAGTCTTCCAAGATACTAGCCGTAAGTCAATAGTTGCCAGAGGTTCAAAGGGAGCTCTAGTAAGTGCCTGCAGTACAACTGAAAGGCTCCACGTCGGCATAACAGGACGAATTGAAGGATGAAGGTTTTGCAGTCCCTTGATGAATCATCTAACCACCGGCTGAGAGAAAACAGATGAGCCCTGTATTGTACCACAATAATGCGAAATCACGGCTGCATAAACCTTTATGGATGAAGGTTTAAGTCCCAAACGATGCAACTCTAAAAGAAATTGTAAAATGTTCTCGATAGAAGCCAGTCCAGGAACAAACGAGTGACATTCAGTGAAAGATGAGAATTGACGCCACTTTGCCGCACAGGATCTCCGTGCTGACAGTCTTAGAGCAGATTCAAGAATTCTTTGAATATCTGGATCGAGAATGGTCAATCCCAAAGTTAATCCCATCGGGTCCAAGGAAGCAAGCAAATGCACAGTTCCGTAAGTGGGAATTTCCGATGCTTGAGATGTTGTTGGTACCGAGTCAGTATCGAGAGTCAGCGGATTCGCCAAGCTGTGAGGTTCAGAGAAGTTAAATCACTCCATCTTGTTAATAGATGTGGTATTGATGGGAGACGAAGAAATATGCCGTCTGACAGCCGCAGAAGAGTGGAGAACCACGGCTGGCGAGACCACCATGGAGTTATCAGGATTCCTGTGGCATTGTCTTGGGCTATCTTCGAGACAACTCTCATCAAGAGTGGAATTGGAGGAAAGGCGTAAAAGTTCATGTTGTCCCACGGGATCACGAGAGTATCTCCTGCTGACCCCGGTCCGATGCCTGCCCTGGAGCAAAACAGTTCGCATACCCTGTTCACATGGGTAGCAAACAAGTCCATGTCCGGATGTCCCCAAAGACGGAAGAGCTGATCGCAAATGTGTTAGTCCAACTCCCATTCGTGAGTTGTCGACATCTGTCTGCTCAACATATTGGCTTCTTCGTTGTTGGTACCCACTAGGTGAACTGCCAGCAGAGTTATGTCCCTCGGGATATACCAATCCCAAATCTTCATCGACAGGCAGGACAGGGCAGCTGACTTTGTCCCACCCTGTTTGTTGACATAGAACACGGCGGGTATGATGTCTGATGCAATCTGGACTACTTGTCGTCAAGGAGTATTCTTGAATGATCGTAGAGTGTTGAAGATTGCTAAGAGTTTGAGAAAATTGATGTGTCTTCTTGTTTCCTGTCAGTCCCAAGCGCCCTGGGTGCAAAGTCCTGCACATACTGCACCCCAACCGATCAACGATGCATTGGTGTAGTGGATTACGGTCGGCTGAGGCGGCCGGAACGGGACACCTACATTCAAATTGTCTGGTATAGTCCACCATGACAGGGAACGCAGAACAGGCAGCGGAAGCCGGATTAGCTTGTTGGGTGAATCCCGCTGTGGATGAAATGATCTGTTGAAGAACAGTTGAAGAGGATGAAGTCGAAGTCTGGCGTATGCAACGATGGCAACCGAAGCGGCCATTTGGCCCATGAGTTTCTGAATGGAAAGAGCCTGGTACCGTCTTGTCTCGTCAAATCCAATGAATACATGCACAGAGACCGTCTTGATGGGTCGGAGGAAGAAATGCCCTCATTAGGGTAGAATTGAGACAAGCTCCAATGAAGTCGATCACCTGTGCGGGAACAAGGAACGATTTTTCATGATTAATACAAAGTCCAAGATCGTCCAGTAGAGCACAAGTTGTATGGACTGCTGAGAAAAGGCTATTCCTAGTCTGGGAAACGATAAGCTAGTCATCCAGATAAAGATATACTTGGATACCCTGAAGCCGCAGATATGCACACATCAGAGCCATGCATTTCATGAAGACTCGCGGAGCAGTGGCCAGTCCGAATGGGAGGACACTGAATTCAAATATGTCGGATCCGACAGTGAAACGTAAAGGTGTCTGTGACAAGGATGAATTGAGATAGGAAAATAAGCATCCTTTAAGTCCAGTGAGGTGAACCAATCCTCTCTCCTCAGAAGGATATTTTGAAGAGTGGTCATCCGAAATTTCTTAGGTTTGATAAACCTATTAATGTTTCATAAGTCCAGGATAGGACGGAGACCACCATCCCGCTTAGGGATTGTAAAATATCTCGAACAGAATCTGTGGACTCCCTCAGAACGAGAGAGCTGGCAAATCACTCCTTCATGAAGTAGCTGACGAACTTCGTCTTGTAACACTGGCGAGCATGGCATAAATCGAATCAGACTCGATGGAGGAACTACGTTGAATTCTATTCTGTATCTGAGTTGTATGATGGATAAACCCACCGGTCAGATGTGATGGACTCCCAAATGGGGAGTCGGCTTTGCAGCCAATCCCCAAATGGGAGAGAGAAAGGTGGGAATTGAAGAGATGGAGAGGTTCGCCGGGCCCGTCACCGCTGGCGCTTATCATTGTCAAAGTTGCGATGGCCCTGCAAGAAGCATTGCTGCGGCTGCTGCTTTCTGCGCTGCTGGTACTGTTGCCATGGTTGGAATTGCTGGCGATATGATGGACGGGACCAGGACCACTTATGCCTTTGTTGTGTTGGGATCTCCATATGACAAGCTGTCATTTGCGACTCGTGAATGGCCTTGAGCTTGTGGTCCGTCCTGGTGTGGAAGAGTCCCGTTCCATTGAATGGCATCTCGATTCTACGCTTCATCTCCTCTGGGAAATTGCAGCTCCTCAGCCAAGCGTGCCAACGGAGGAAGATTGCACTGACCAGGGCCCTGGAGTCGGTGTCTACATGATGCCGTGCAGCTGAAGGTTGTTGTATGGCCACTTGCATTGCTTCCTTTATGAATACTTTGGCCAAGTCCACTTGGTGGTCAGGCAGAGAAGAGGCGATATTCTCAAGCTTCTGCATGATAATGAATTGGTATTGTGCAAGTGTCGCCTCATAGTTCGATATGTGGAGGCCGAGTCCAGAGGCCGCATAGACCCAGCACGCTAGCATATCGATCTTCCTGCCCTCCTTGTCACGAGGAGCTGTGTGGCCCCTCGATTCCCTGCCCTGGGATGACTCGACCACCATCGAGTTCGGTTTTGGATGACGCAGGAGGAATGGAATATCCTCCTCCTGACCCAGTACATTGCCTCATAGCGACAAGACGTGGCCTGCGGCTGAGCTGGTAGATTCCAAGGCTGAACCATCGCTTGGCGAAGTGTGGTTATAAGGGGTAGTACGATGGCCGCTGATTGCTCACCCCTGACAATGTCGTAGAACTTATCGGTGCTGGGATCGGGCTGATGTTGTGCCTCGATCTCCAGTGACCGAACAAGCCTAGACATGAGTTCCCTGAAAGTAATGTGGGGCTCATCTGGGGACCCTGGGCCCTGAGAATGGCCACATCAGGGGAGGTAGAGTCTGCCTCCGACTCATCCGAGTCGCCCTCGTAGCGGTAGTGCCCGCTGGATGATGAATTCCCCGGTGAAGTGGGGTGTCTCCGTTCCCTACGGCCAGACGTGAACGGTGCCTCCCTCAGGGCCGATGGTGATGGATGGTCCCGTGCTGATGAGTAATAGCCAAAGCAGTGGTATTCGCCCCAGCCCATGAAGCCTCCGTAGCTGGGTTGGTCCCATTCTTCAGCATGCCTGTCAGCGGAACGGCTCCGGTGCTGTGGTGGCAAAAAAGTCTCTGCGACTGGTCCAAATGGAGGCATCAGGGTTGGTGAGCGGGCTCTTGGCGGGGAGTCACAGATTTCCCCGTCTGAGATAGACTTGCACATCGGCGCCTCAGATCATCGAGGGGATGCACTCTCAGCCCGCACGACCTGTCTGGGGGATCCCGGTGGAGTGACCTGCATGGTCGATTGCAGGGCCGGTCCCAATGGACATGGTGGAGGTGCAGCAGAGGCCAAGGCAGGGTGCTGAGAAGGCGCAGCCAAGACAGAGGCAGAGCGCTGTGGAGGCGCGGCCGAAGCAGAGCCAGGCTTTGAGACCAGCTGGTCTGACTGCATCAGGGCCTGGTCCCAGAGCAGTTTACGGAGACTATTCTCCTGGTTCTTCCTGGCCTGCTTGGTGAAGGCCAAGCAATGGCCACACTTGTCCATTCTGTGCCCCTCGCCAAGGCAGAGAAGGCACAGATCGTGCAGGTCCGTGGGGGATATCTTGGAACCACACTCCGCACATTTGCGAAAGGCCGCTCACTGCGCCATCACAAAAGAGAAGAAGAGTAGATAGTGCAGAGGGAATAGATCATCTTTTTGGTTTTTTTTTTTAAGGGAGAACAAGAGAGAGATAGCTTCGTAACAAGGGAAAAAAACTTGGAAATACAAGGGAAAGAACTTAGAAATACAAGAGAACAATCAATGAAGTTAACTAGGCAAGGAAAGTAGTCAATCTGAGAGCGAAGAGGCACGAGGGACAGCAAATGGTGATTGCAAAAGACTGAGAAAATGGCGGACACTCCACTCTATATATAGTACTGAGGGGGAGGGGAGTGGAGTTTTCCTGCCAAAAACTGTTAGCTTTCTAATCTTTCTGACCCTAGGCACTGCGCAGGCGCAGCACCCATATGTGTGATGCACAGAGGCCACAATGAAGAATAAAGAAATCTATCATGTTAGGTATTAAAATCAGTAAATGTCTAGGTATACAGATGAAAATGGTACCTGTCATATCGCACTGGGGACAGAATTCCAAAGGCGAAGCATCATAGCTCATCAGTATCTTTTTTAATGTATCAAAAGTATTTTTTAATGTACCAAATGTTTATTTATTTATTTATCTAGCTATCAAATAAATTCAATATATTAAGCTCTGGCCTATTACTTATTGCTAGAATGTTTGTTGTCAGAAGAAAAACCAGGATAGTATAGCTTGGCATAGAAGATTAAGTTAGTCACAAAGAATAACAATTACAAAATCTGGAGTAATACTGGAGTAATTTGGAAATAATACAGGAGAATGAAAGTACCAGATTATACACAAGAATTGGCAAATGCAAGAAAGGAAGCAATTTGTTCTTTTATTTTGCATTTATAACCAGCTCTGCTATTTCTGCCACACAGAATCCAACTTGCCAAGCCTCCAGCAGAAGCAGTAGAAAAAGAACAAAACAGGGTAGCTGGGGCCAGTGTGCTTGAGCTTTTCAGCTTCAAGCCTATGGCCTAGTGGGACTACAGCTTTCAGGTTCACCCCTCAGTCTGTGGATGCAGATGGTTAGAATGCAGCAGAGGAGAACATTTTACTCCTTCAGCATAATTAGGGGCTGTGGCCAAGGAAGGGCCTAATCCATTTTAGGATTCCATCACCTCAGGGATTTTCTTCATGTTAGTCTCTCCACTATCGGCAGATTCAGTGCTCTGCACATTTTTCTAACTTTGTAATACAACAATGCTCTCTTCTTAAAGTGCCAAACAACCTGCCGTACCTGACCTAAGGCACAGCTTTGACATGTGGCATTTAAACCTAATACCTTAAAATTAAATGTTTAGAAGTATGTTATTGCAAAAGGTTATTTTTAACATTTCACTGATATATGAAAGAAGTATCATTTAGTTAAAATGTAAGTAAATCCCAAAACTTGCCTCTTTGGTGATGAGCGAGTTTGCATAAGGGCAGCTTGATTCATAGCCCGGATCCAGCCATTCATATCTTCTTGAGTATCTGCACTAAAGTAGTATGTGCGCATCCCTGAATGCTCTGCCTGAGAGCCAATAACAGAACTCTTATTATAGATATATGCCCTCATGCCTGTATGGACAGCCTGTAGGAAGAGAAAGAGAGATAGATCAGATATATTTAAAGGACACAGAATACACAAGTCTCCAAAATGCCACACTAATGTACAGTATTTCTAGATAATCAGATGGCCTTTACATCTAAAAAGAGGGTTATAGTAAGCTGCCTTGAGATCCTTGGTGGGAAAAAAGTGGGGTATAAACACGATAAATAATCACAGAGCAGAAATCTGACATCCATCAAGCACATATGCATAGCACCCATGTGCATTTTTTCATAGTACTGCAACACCATTGCAGAATTTTATCTGAGCTTCGTACTAGTAATTGTAACTTTTTATGATGTTCTTCCTACCTTATGCATTTCATTTACTGCATACATTACACAAAAGAGGCTAATGGTGTGTTTGCTCATTCTTTTGTTGAATTTATTAATGTAAATATATTTTATAAGTCACTGGATGAGGGATAATAATGACAATAAAAGTAGATTAAAATTCTTATGATGCCTTGCATTTTGTTTTAAAAGTATGTTTGTGATTTTTAATAGAAAATACTTTCCATTTTTATTATCCTATACAAGTATTTTAAAAATTTTGTTGCAAAATTACTAAAGATTGACTAACCTTAACTATAGTTCTGAGATTATATCCATTAAAATATGTGTCCATAAATTCATTAAACAGTTAACCATACAAAATAATTATTTTTAAAAGCCTAGACAGAATGCATGGAGCCAATAGGTTGGAGCTACATTACTATAGCACACTGCTGCACTGGATTTACAAGCCATGCTGCTAATAGCAATAACATGCAAGGATGGAGAGGGCAGAGTACAAAGACTTGATAGGGAAAAACAAACCTAAAAACCTTGAATGGAAATTTCACTAAATCAATACAATTAAGTTACGTTTACACAAAATGCATGCCACAGTAACACAGACAAAGAGACATATCCTAATGCCAAGTCAAAAATGATGTTGTAAGCTTCCATTAACAAGGTTACACAAAAACCATTCAATTCTGCTCAGTTTCAAGATCAACATCCAGAAGGGAAAGAATGTGGTTATACAAATACAGCCAGCATGTTTTACTTGTAGGCTGACAGCAGCAAAGGGTTCTGATATTGGGCATCCAAAGCAACAAGCCACACACATGAAACAAAAATCCTTTGTAGCTTACTAAGTAAAACTCAACAGTAACAAGAACATCCTGCCATTGTTGGCTCATGTCCAACAGAAGAGCTTCACAATTTGTATATGCATGAAAATGGCAGCCCAGTGTCTTGCAGTGTTCATCCATACACTCATGGCCCAGGGTCTCAACAGTTCCCTTTCTCTGTGCTAAATCCCACCCATGTCATACAAGAGCTTCAAAAAGGAGAAAATTTTGCACTGAAACTGCGGGATGTGAGAAAAGTAATCCCACAGGAACATCATGGAAGGAAAGTAAGTCCATGGAAAGGAAAGTTCCATAGGAGGAAAGTAATTCCCCTTTCTGTATATCACATGGGCCTGATCAAAACTGGACACACCAACTTAGAGCATGTGTGGTCTGGTGGTTAGTGTGTTGGACAAGGAACCCAGGTGACCTAGGGTCTCCTAGGAACCCAGACTAGTTCTGGTCCCCACTCAGCCATGAAACTCACAGGGTAACTTTGAGTCAGTCAGTCACTCTTAGCCTAATCTACTGCACAGTGCTGTTGTGAGGATAAAGTGGAACTATGCAAGGCATCTTGGAGTCCTCACAAGAGGAAAAAAGGTGTGATAAAAATGTAATAATATAATGCTAGAGACTCTGCTTTGTGCATTACAGGGATACTATGGGTTAATATATATATACCTGCTATTCCGGTAGGTGTAAAGTAGCCCATTTTGAGGGTATACTCAAAGGATGTTACAACTTAATCTGAGACACTATGGGCCTTCAGTGTTCACTAACAAAAACACAACAACATTCTGTTTCTTTGTTTGCAACATACAGTCAAACCAGTTGGCAGACATCACTCCTCTATCTTCCACCTGTATCTTCTCCAGGTTTCAGTCACTGGCAACCACTGACTACCTCATTTATGTTCAATATGCTTTGTGCCTGCTGAACACAGGTGTACTAAGGTACTGAACATTTACTGTGCTTGCTCCTTCCTAATGAAGGAACATATCCAGACTCATGAAATTGAATACTGGTGCATGAAGCTTTATCTTATGGCATTTCTGGAGGCTTGGAGGATATATATACTACTGTGCCTAAGTTATTCCTTTCTCTGCCTGTTCAATCTTCCTGTTCCCAAGAACAGAGAGTTTGAGCGACACCTGCAAGAACGTCATTTTTCCCACTTTTGTTGGATACATTTTACTGGAATAAACAATTTGGGACTTCTAACATGTGATTCACACCTAATACTGTCCCTATACAGGGATATAATTCAAACCCTGAAAAGGCCCAAGGTGAGGGCAAAAGGGGTTCCCTGGTGATTAGAGTAATGATTCCTGAGTTATGAAACAAAAAGGTGGATTTTCATAAGCCAAACATGGAGTGGGACAATCCATCTGCTTTGGAAAACTGGAGGACTCATAGCATGAGCAATGTTGGTTGAAGGTTGTTTGAAGTCACCAAGAGGGGATAACTTTAGATATCAGAAAAGATGTGTGTTTTAAAAACACCTCAGAATATGTTTAGCAGAAAGCCTATTGGCATGGGGAAGGAAATGGGTAGAATATGGACAGAAGTTTCATTTCATTCAGCCAAATGTATGAGGCAGGCTGTTACATATATTTATTTAAATAGCTAACCCATTTTTAAAGGGGAGAGTCAGAATATTACTCTATTAGAAGCACATATGTATATATTTCTGAGCATGCACAGAGGAATAAATATAGGGCCTATTTTGATGCAACACTAAACCATAGTTTAGATTTAAGAACTGCAGTGAACATGAGCCATAGTGAAGCTCTGGGTTCACAATCTCCACTCTTCTACTTGCAGAAGAAGAAATCACAAAGCTTCAGTTTTCTATTTTAAACTGACTGGAATTAGGTGGAAGAAAAATAGCAACAAGCAAGCTGGACAAACATTAGGAAAGTATTAAAATGTTGATATTTGGCTTGACAATCACAGCAATTTAAAATTGCAGCTAACTGCAGTGTGAGAGAAAGAAAAGTTACAGACTGAATAAAAAATCTATTTCTTCCACTATGTTAAAATATATGGAATGATTATAAAAGATAGGCATAGTGCAAATTTATAAAAAGAATAAATATGACAACATTGGTTATCTAAGGAAATATGAAAAGAGAGGACAACACTGGCAGTTAAAAACGATAGGTAAGTGACAAAATAAATTGAGGGGCCTTAAAAAAAGGAAAACTAGAAGCCTGGTATGATTTTAAAAATGTGTGAGGAAAAATTCTGACAGCCGAACCTAAATTCAAAGAAATAACTAGTTATTTCAACTGTGAGGAAAAAAATGAAATTTTAAAATAAAGGAAGAGATTTTTTAACGCAAAGAAACAGATAGTGGGAGAATGAAACAAAAAAGCTGGAAACAAAATAGACAAATGGCAATCATTTCCTTGGGTATCCACTTATGAGTATCTAATTTCAAAACTTGGTTTAATGTCTGGTTTCAACTTTCAGTTTATGTAGCAATTCATATAATTCCAGTTCAGCTTTTACAGACTACAGTTTGTATAGAGCCTCTCTTTTCCTGCCAAAGGATTAGACTGAAGGATAAATTTACCATTCTTGCTTGGCTTCAAAAACACAATGACAGTTTTGACTGCGCAAAACATTTCTAATCTTGTGTGAAACCTCCTATAAGATCTCAGCTACACATAATACTCAAATTGCTGAGTGTTATCAGACTACTAAAGCCTCATAAAAACAATAACCCCAACCTCTATAAACATGCAGACCTTTTCAATATGAAGTCTTCCCCTAGTATTACTACACTTAGTATTTTGTGAAGTGTTGAATTCACTGCTTTCCTTTTATAGAGAGCACTGAAACTGTCTAAGTGCTGGGCTATCCTTCATTTAAATTAACCTACAGAAAAATCATTTTCATTTCTTTCAAAGTTCAACACAAGGTGAACTGTTTTGGCTGCAATTCTTCTGTTAACTTCTCCATCATGGACTGCATTAGATGAAGTAGGTTAACTGCATTTTTGTTTGGGTCATTGTCTATTACTCATGTTCTGCATTGTAATCTGAATAGGATGAATGACTGCAATAAAATTTGACTGGCTGATTGAAACTATCCATTCTAACATGCTCCTCCCTCTAAGGACGTAATCACTTAAAAAAAAACCAGACACAGCTAATATATTGTGTTTCATTAACAACAAGCTAAAATGGCAGTCAGCAGCAGCAGTTAAAGAAAGCATACTTACAATATTTGAATAAGTAACAAATGCAGTGACAACAGTAAGTAAACCCTTGACATTGTAAGGGCTATCTCCAGCATGTATGACTGATGACATTAAAAAGTGTTGTCCAAATAATGCCAGTTATCTCTTAGCAGCGCACCAAACAAGCAACACAAACACATGTGAGAGTCAACATGAGGACAATCAATGATAGGAATACTCAAGATTTCAGTGCTCTTAAATTGTGACTAAGTACCTCTAAAGCACAACAGTCTGCGATACAACACATAAACATTCACAATAGGGACGAAAATATAATGTTGGTACCTATTCATGCATTCAGGTGCCCTTACACTGGACAGAGGGAGAAGGAAAGGCAGGTTCTCTCTCATATTGCACAGAAGGAGAAATGAAGAGCAAACCCCAAAAGCATAAAACAAGGACAAAATGTTAAAAGAGCAGAAATCCTACAAAAATATTCATAGAAAGTTGACATAACGAATAAACAGGCAAAATTACTCCTTTTCACAAAATGCCTGTATTTTTCAGGAGTCTAACTACTCAAAATGCCCAATCTTAATTCCTTCCATGGAAAAGAACAAAAGCAATTTTAAATGCAATCAACTTGGTAGTTCTGAAAGGGAACAATTAAGAATTGGTTGGCCAATTTAACTGTACTCATTGCCAAGGAGCTCTGTAAGTTCCTAGCAGTTTGCCTTCCAAGTTGCCATCTGCCTCTTTCTGATCAGCCAATCTAAAACAATACAGAAGCTCACAGGAAATATGCAATAAATCCACTTGATTTGCCTATATTAAGATCTCTGCAGCTAACTACAAGAGACCATATTTAAGGTACAAGAAAACAGTTTAAAATGCAAAGTTGTACAGCTGAGTAATGTACAATAAATACTTTTTGGGTCCTAATGTTCTTTGCAAAGGAAAACGGTGTGTATGTGCATGTGCGCCTGTCTCAGATAAGCATGAATTTTATTTTAAAATAATTAAATACAAAGGCCTTCTAAATATCCTGCAATATTTTTGAAATGTGCCCTACTTTTCAAGAAAGGAACGGGTTGGACTGACCGCATTCACTTCATCAACATTATTTTGGGCTGAAATCCTATACATACTTACCTGGATGTAAGTCCTATTGAATGCAAAATGCATTGTTTCTGAGTAGATAAGTATAGGACTGCAGTTATAATTATTTAAAAAATATCTCTTCATTGTAACATTATAGCTAGGCTTTATTTTGTGGATAAAGAAGCAATATGTCAATATTTATGGCACAATAAACATTTTCGAAAAGAAAGTGCAAACATTTAGGAAGGCTATACCTTGAATACTTTTTACAGATCAAATTGACTACTATGAAACATTCAATAGACGAATATAGGTATTTCCTAATGTTATACGATACTATTTACTTGAATGTCTGAATAATTTAAATTTACTCCTGCATAATTATGTTTATGATTGCAGTCATATTAGAATGCATTCTAATAAAAGAGACAATAAAAATCCAAAAGTTGCAATTATTTCTTATATATAATACATGAATTCAGATGCAGCATTGGAAAACGAATTATATTGTGTTAGCCCTTAGTTTACAGAAAAGAGAACAGTGCTGCAAATAAGATAAATAACTAGATAGCTGGCATTTAAGGGCCCATTTAAGTATCAATATTTTAAGCTACAACCTGAACATCTGGAATGAACTGATTATAATGGAAGCTGTGAAGAAAGGCAGTATATAAACAAAATAAAATCTTCCTGATAAATGAACATTACAATTATTGAGTTAAATACAACTTTTCCTTTTCTCTAAGAAGGGCTTTTTCTTCAGTTAAAGCAATGCTTTTGCGGGGGAAGGCAACTTACATAGGAAGACTTTTGTCCCCAACGCATGTGAAAGGGCTTATATTTCTATTAATTTATCCTTGCATAGATCCCATCCCCCACAAATACACTTCTAAGATACGTTTAGTCTGCTTTAAAATTTCAAGATGCATTTAACAGCACTCAGCAAATTAAATGGATTTCATAGGTAATGAGTGATAAAATTCTAGTCTGACAGAACTTTTGGTACTTCTGAGCTGATGAAATGAAACACTACAATAAGCCATTTTAAAATACTGCTTTGCAACTCCTAGAGTAAATTAATACTTTGCCCTCCTAGATAGTAATGTACATATTTGCACTGAAGTGAGGCAGCAAGATACTTGCATATAAACCTGGGATGAAAGAGCAGACAAATTATTGAAACAGAAGAATATAAATACTGCAGGCCATGTAAAATATCAAGTGGATACTTTTATAAATTAATTTATGATGCCTAATATTTACCAAAGATGAAGTCACAATTTAACAAATGTGATAGATATCAATTCAAGAATGAATATAGTTTTAACTTCCAGGGGAATGGCAACTTGAATGGCAACAGCTTGATGCCACTCCTTTCCTTATCGCGTTCAGGAAGGTATAAATTGCTTCTCGAGAGTTATTTTTGCCTCTCTGGCAGGTGAGCATAAAGATTTTGTTTATTGCTCTGATAATGTTACTTCCAGTAAGGTTACTTCAAATGAGGTCAGAGTCTCCCCCCACCCCACCCCGCCAACATGTACTTTCACTTTTGTTTTCTTTCTCTCTTCTTTTTCTTTTTATTATTCTATTTTGCATTGTTTTTCTGTTTTTGCCAAGGGATGAACAGTAACACTTTAATTTGCTGCAGTTTGGATTTTTAAGGCATTTTCTGTCTGCATACTTTAAAGGGATTCTGAAATGGATAATCGGATGACTAACGAAATTTTAATGCAGGCTGTTTAAAGTTTCTGTCTTAGAACTAAAAATTGAGAAGTGTGGTTGGTGTAAACTGGGCTTGGCATGAGAATACTAGCTGGGAGTACTGTGGCTTTTTAATTGAAGAATAACTGCATCCTCCAGACAGCCTGGATTTGAGGCTAAGATTCTTTCACAAGGCATTCCTGTTTGTATGCAGTATTTGAAACAGATATTTTACAATACCTTGTTTTACTTGTAATAAGATCTTATTTTGCAAAATCTTTGGTATTACTGAAGAAATTAACTACAGACATTTCCAACTGTTGTGACTGAGATTACAGTGTGCTGGGTGAGATGATCTCTCCTTTTCTCCATCATCATTTTCTGAGAAGAGGCTGCCTATGGGAGTTGAAAGATTCTTTGTCACTGTTGCTGATCCGACTTTTTTTTAAAAGGCAACTGTATCTCCCCAGGGCTCTGACAGGAAGGGGAGGTGTGATCTTTTGGATATGTTCCATCTCTGATCTCTTTGCTTAAGGCTTTATGGAGAAAATGAAGTCCTGAGGCTGGGGCAAAGTGAGTTGGACTTCAGCATCACCTTGAGAAAAGGGAAGGCTGAGGCCCCCTGCTGTGAAAGCAAAGCTTGAACAATGTTTCTATTAAACAAAACAACTTATGAAGCCATAGACTGATTGAAGATCTGTTCGAATAAGTAGTGTATTATAGACTGATTAACTGATTTTACTTAATTTTGCTTTTGCTTTTTCTGCTTTTTTGTTTTTGTTTTCCTTCTCTCTCTCCTTTTCCTTTTCTTTCTTAACCTCTGTAATCTCTCCTTCCTTTTCATCATCATCAAAGTCTGCACTGCTTTTGAAGCTTTGTTGAATTGTGAAATTATTTTAAAAAGCAAAAATAAAAAGAAAAGAAGAAAGAAAAATAAAAAATAAAAAGAATGTATACAGTTTTAATTAGAAGGATTTTGGATGTAATATAGATGTATTAACTTTTGCCATCACCAAGATGAGTTCCTCTTTAAACAATTTTTCTTCTGGTAGATCATAAGCATGTATACTTCTAATATTAGCCACTGTGTGTCATCTAATATTCTTTTGTAGGGACAATCCTAATCTACAAGTAGTGCCTAATCACAAAAATAAAATAAAAAAATCTGAGTTTAAAAGAATAGCTATAAACAAAACATAGTTCTTGCTTTTTTTAACTGACAATGAAATAAAACTCCTGAACTTTGCTCTTATTTCTAAGACAGATCAAGGATTCAGTCATGCACAACATTCACAAAATGCAGCATTACATGTTCTTTAGTGGGGAAATATGTTCAAATATTTAAAATTAGGCTGAAGCATTCAGCACACTGTAGCAGCAAACCCTAAATTCAAAATGATTTCCCAAATCTAGTCAAATTAATGCTGGGCATTTTTGACAGTCACCTCTTGTGTGACTGGAACACACTTCTGCATGTGCCTGGAGAGAGAACCCCTTTTTCCACAACACCCCACCCCTCCAATCTTGGAATACAAGAGCTGCTGTTAAAAGGCAGAGCTTAAAAGCCTCCTCACACAAGCAGAGCAAGCAACTTTGTCAGTCTTCATTGTGGCTGAAGTATTACTACTATTACTACTTTTAAAGGTAATTTGCTACTTAGGTTTAAGTCCAGGATGGCCTCCCCTCTAGATGGTTCCATGACCAACTGATGTAAAATATTGACCAAGAATGTAGATATGTCATCCTAAAAAAAATTAGAAGGCTTCAAGTCTACATGAAAGATCTGCACACACAGAAGGACTCTCCGTATTTCCCTTCCAACTGCAGCTTATCCCATTGCATCAGATACAAGTCAAGGATGAGCAAACTGGCTTTCCAAAGAAGATTTTCTGGAAGACCTGGAGGCTGGGAAAGGAAGGAGGAGTTCAGATGCATGTGCAGAATCGCTATGACTCTACATATACATGAAATGTATGTGAGGAAGTGAGACAATATTGCCAAAGTCACACGATATTTCTAAAATGTGGCAGGTTTATATGTTAAATCATCACAAGCTTTGCAATCACTAAATGTACCTTAAAGGAATACTTGCGGTTTATATGATCTTCAGGTCCAACAGGTGATATTACATAGCTAGGCAGTGGTATACTTCCAAGAACAGATTCTTCTCTGCTATCTTTTGAATGAAGAAACAAACAGATTAACCTCCATATTTCAGCAGGGACACTAAAATGCATTCATCACGATGTCTAAAACAACTTTTGCAAGGGACCATATCCAGTGCAACTCAGACAAACTGTGCTCTATGAAGGTTTTGTTCTTGTTTATTCTTTGTTCTTTGGGAGCTGGGGCAGTTGAACAAAGACAGGAACAAAAATATTATAGTCACATAAGCCATTTGGCAGTACAGGACATACTTGTATCCAGGTACTGTATTGCTACTGAGAGAAAGGGTGACATAAAGGGTAAGAAAGTCTTTTGCTCAGTGCATCCAGAAGGTTCTAGGTTCAATCCCTGGCATTTCTGGTAGCAGATGATGTGGAAAATCTCTCCCTGAAAGCCTGAACAACAACTGAAGTAAGAGCAGGAAGCATCAGCTAAGACTGGTATCTAGTCTCGTCTGCTATAAAGCAATTTATTATTTCTGCCCACAATGCTAAACACCGAATTCTACTTTTTCAACCACAGCATATCTTATACTTGGAAATTCTTTCCAAGAACATAGGAAGAGCCTTGTTGCTGGTGCATTAGTCTTGCATCCTGTTTCTTAAAGAGAAGTAGGGCATGGAAACAACAGCACTCCCTTGCTATTTGCTTTCCAGAAACTGGAATTCAGAGTCACATTTATGTTAGCTTCTCCTCTTCCACCTGCTCCCACCCCAGGACACAACATACATAACTATTTTAATAGGAAATTAGTTCCTTTGGCCATGTTCTTAGCTAGGGAATACATGGATCAATTCATGTGTAGATTGTATGTATAGTATTAAAGTTAGCTGGCAACCCCTTTTTCCAGAAACAAAACAACAGATATCATATTACAGAAATGATGCATGACAGAAACTTAAGCCAAACATTAATATTTTATTCCATACCACAGTGAAAAGACCAAGGCCTTTGCGTTTTCCAGTTGCTTATGATAATTATTCTTTAGAAAGTCAGTACAATATCCTTAGCAAGCCAGAATTGTTTGGAGGAGACAAGAAAGAATGTACTACAGCCCAACTAGAGCTTTTGCTTTGTCACCAAGGATTGCATATGATAATTGCACCATCAGTATAATGCAAAAAATGTATGTGTGTTCTCAAATCAAAAGCTGAGAAATATCTGAGAGTAAAATCTACATAAAATAAGCCTCCCTGAAATAAATGAAAGTGAGAGAGACAGCAAGGAAGGGAAATAATATTTAGTATTTTCCTGGAAGTGTTGACCCCTAAAAAGCTTAGTTTCTAAATTTACAAAAATACACTTTGTGGAACAACTCTAAGGCTCATAAACATTTTAAAAGTCAGAGCTTTCTTTACTAACCTTTATAATAAAATAAGCAATAATCAGCAAGCACAAACCACCGTCTTTTCCATAATCTCATTCCAGAGCTATCCTGAAAATACAAATAATAATTTGTTGTCTTAAATTCATAACACATATAACAACACAGCTGTGTACTAAATAGAATCTTAAACGGCTATATATCTTCTTTAAGATATAAAATTATGCTCCTCTAGAGTTGTGTGCAGCTTTGGCAAAAACCACTGTATATCAGACCAGTATCATTAATTTCTCACAGCTTTCTGTTTTGTTGGGAAATTTTGTCATGCTCATGAAGTAAAGGAGATTCAATTTCATTAAGCAGAAATGACTGATGTACAGACAGACATTAGTACCCTGGATTGTGTGTATTTGTGTGTTACGAACACACACAGACATATGAACTTGTATTAAATGCTATACAATTTCGGGAATAGATTTTTCAAGATTTCCATGGTAATATTGATGTAGATGGGGTCAACCTGTAAAACTGTTTAGCACAATGTCATACATTAACTCTTAATGTTAACCCCATTCTTTCCAGAAAATTGACCTGCTGTCCACTGCTCTCATGTAATTTATCACAATAAAGCTAGTTAAGATAATATCAATTTATGGGAAATGTAGTAAACAGCATTGTGAAATATTAAACAATGCTCAGTTATATGAGGGGTCTTAAATAAGTTTCTGCACTTTTATATTTATTTATTTTTGCTGATGGCATTAAAAAGATGGTAAAACACTGGGAAAAATGCATCACAAAGGAAGGTGACTATGTAGAAAAGTAATGTAATTTGTTTTTGACATTCTTAATAAACAGAGTTTTTAAAAGTGTGGAAACTTTTTGAAAACCTCGTATTTACAGATATGAATATTTCTTTATTACTTCTTTATCCCAAGTTGTTCAGTACCTAAAGCTCCATAATAAGTATATGCTGCACTTTAAAATTGTAAACCTAGTTCTCTACAACCAATTACAATATCCTGTATCTCTTTCACCACATCATTGCATGACAGTAGTATGCTGAACTACATTATTTACAAAATAAAGAAAAACTTTATCACAATTATGGACAGGCTATTTTCATCAAAATGTCACTATTTAGTCATACATAACCCCAAAAGGATAGTACATTTTTTATTATGATGGACTAATACTGATTTGATTTTCTTTTTTCTTTTTTTTCCTGAACTACTTGTCCATTAGATATTTCATAAAGTAAACATATACACAGGATTT